TTAAGGACGGGTGTTCCACAAGGATCTATTTTTGTTCCTCTTTTATTACTTATATTGTTGTGTAGTGGAGTGCGTAAAACCTATAAATCAAAAATAATTATTTAAAATGGTACGTCTAAAACATGCTTGACACATCCTAAGACAGCTGTAACCGTGTTATATATTAGGACAAGAATAAAAAATCATAAATGGTCGTGTGAAAGAGAGGAATAATTTATGATTTTTTTTCATTTTACAGAAAGGGATGGGGAAGATTTTTTGTAAAAAGGACGCTACACGTATGATCTATTTACATTTAGTCTGAGGTTAAGCAATTTATTATGATATCTCTATTTTACCTGGTTTTTTGTTTCTACTGTATTCTCATCTTACCTGTGCAATGTATTGTACCCGAAAGTTAGACCAGCTGAAGGAAAAATTGAGAAGAAGAGGTGCATCCTGTGGTCATACTGACTTAGGGATCAACACACAGCAAAAACCACTGGACGTAGAAACGTGACATTTGGAGGATGTATTCCTTATATGATGTAAGCATCCGATAAGAAAGGATTTTTCGCTTAAGTAGGTAAAACAGGGGATTAAAGATTGTATTAAACTCCGTCATTCTTCATGTGAAATATACAGAAAGTGGTGTTTAGCTTTAAGATAAAGAATTAGAAATATATTTGTTTGATTTTTTTCGAAATTCATCGCTTAAAGGGGTAAAAGGAGGGTAATAAAGTTCCCCCCCCCCAACGTGCGTTCACCTTGTCGTGGTGGGGGGGCTCAGTAGTGCCCGGCAATACAGCCGAGCGCGAAGCCAAGAAACGCACAAAGAGGTGGCCCGCTTCGGTGGGAGGTGGCCCTCTTCGGAGGGCGGTGTACCATGCGAGTTGCTCCCGGTACTTCTCTGATAGTAGAGTGGACCTTGGAGCAACCCCGTGGTTGTTGTGGTCTGCTTCAGCAGACCTGCTGTCGGGGCGTCGTAGTTGAATGCGTAAGCGATCCTGCGACGCCCCATTAAGACAAGGGAAGGATTTGTTGAGTTTTAGTGGGTAGTACTGGCTTTGCCGGTGAGTCCCACACCTCGTGCGTAAATGCATTTCCCAACGTTTAAAAAAAAGGGTAATAATGTTTATATGAGCAAAGAATTATAATTTATGATCAGAATTACTTAACCGGTGGTAGGACTCTGTCAAGCCTGAGGAGTCCGACTGGATGGGTACCACCCCCTTATCTATTTCTCCCGCAAAGCAACAATGATTGCATTGTTGTGTTCCGGTTTGAAGGATAAGGTACTTAGCCAGCGCAATTACATTCAAGAGGCATATTATCTTAGTCCTCACAGTGATAACGTACCAGCGGTTCTGCAGTTTTGTTACGTTAAACCTAAGTGCATGAACCGTAGGTGTTGTGAGCGACAGGTACCGCTTTTCATGAGGTGGGCTGTCTGATCGTTCATTACTGAGTACCATTAAAAAACTTTGAATTAATGGCTAATGCTCTTCAATACAAATAAATAAATACATGTTGTAGCATTTTTAAAAATTCAATTCCATAAGGGGGTAAAATGGGTGATGAAACTTTGTATGAAACTGTAATAAATAAAAAAGTACAAATATAAAAAAAAAATCACCTGTAGACGATTTTAAAAGATTAGATTTAAAATCACTTTCTGTAAAATGATGTCCACATTTAGCCAATTTTGGTCGTCTTATTGCTGTAGCCCGCAATTTCTTCAGTTTTGGGAACAAATTATACCTATTTTTTTTGCATTTTGGCACTGCATAATTCCTCAATTTAATTAAATTTAATAATAAATAAATAATAAGAGGTGTACAATATACTGAGGGCCATAGTTTGCCGTTTTAGTAGTAGTGTAGTCTACTTGCGACTTGCTTCGCTCGAGTGCGTCCCTAGCTACGATTTTGTTCACAATTTAATGGGTTTTAATTTTTTGCGCGGCACCCAGATTATTTTTTTTTAAAAGTAGCTCAAGTTACTACTTATAACATAGGTCTTCCCAGCAAGTTCCGTCAAAATCGGTCCAGCCGTTTTGAGATTAGCCGGAAGAAACAGACAGACAAAAAATTTATAAGCAGTTTTTCTTATATGTAGCTTTTCATATGCATTTAGTAAAAAGCTGTTATTTTGACATTACAAACACTTCGTCACTTCAATTATAATTTATTTGTTTATTTGAAAGTGTTGGTGTTTGTTTGGTTTCTTTCACGTTGAAACAGAAGTGACAGATTGGCATCATTTTTTGTGTGGAGATAATTGGAGGGCTAGAGATACCAGGGGACGCACTCGAGAGAAGCGAGGATAAGTCGCTAGGTTAAAATATTAGTACGGATATGGATAACATTAGTATGGATTTATAATATACTAGCAATACCCGCGGCTCCGCCCGCGTACAGATGCCCAAAAACCAAATTCTTAGGTTTTACATATTAGTATATTGTTACAATGCACAAATGAGATATTTTCCCGTGGTAAAAAGTATCCTATATGTTGACCCGGATAACCAGCTATCACCATACCAAATTTCATAAAAATCCCTCTAGTGGTTTTTCCGTGATGGGGTAACAGACAGACAAAAATTCTAAAAACTATAGATATAGAGGCCGGTATCGATAATAATGTCTATTTCAATAAGATTTTTCAAACAAATATTTAATGTACAGATTCGGTTTAGATACAATTTTATTATATGTATAGGTTAGCAGATGCGGCTATGCGTTGTTGTGGCACATGTATGAAAATGTTACTTGTGCGAAATGGAAATAATCGGGATAAAAACTATCCTATTAAGCTGGAACAAATCACACATTTAAGAGGTACGTTAAGATCATATGCGTGCAACATCGTGACATGAGAACTTTATATATTAAGGTTTTCCTTACTAGATCCTTATTAGAGATACCGAGTTCGAGTCTTGGGTGTGGCTAAAATATAGTTACTGGGGTTTTCTGTCAGAAATACACAGTAATAAGTAATAGTAGATTAAATAAGGCCGCAGTTGGAAAGTTTGCGGTGTTTACATACTCTTGCTTCAGAGAACACATTGAAATATTATAATATTAATATTGGTCCTACTCTACCACTCGAACAGTCGTGTCAGAGAAAATTTTATCACTATATTATGTCTCCTCAATTACGACAAGTGAAGTAAATTTTATTCAATTAGCAATTGATCGATAGGCTTCATACTTTCATTTAAAACTCTATAAAGTAGTTAAAGTTGTAAATGTTTTACAGAAAGAAAAATAAACAACGTAAATTTACATCAAAACAGTTAATATTATTATTTATATAGCATAAGTTAACATAAAAAGCTATGTCAGTATAAACTTTATTCATTTTAAATTTAAAGGCACTTTCCACAATGTCTTACATTATATCTTATACTTGTATCACTTGCCATGACAGACATGTTTTAACGTAAACAATTCTTTGTTACGTAAAAGCATCGTAATCATTTTGAATCAAGAAAAAAAAAACAATAAAATATAACTATTATAACACTATACACACATCTAACATGGCAAATGACTACTTATAAAAATCTTAATTTTAACTCGTCAATTAATTTTACCCTTCCATAAAAATACATATTTTTACATTTTTCGTGAACCGAAATGATGTATGATAAACAGTAATATGTATAGATAACAATAATTTCAGAGTAGTTGAGACTTCTTTTGGATGATATGCAACATCAGCTTCCGTTCACAAATACGTAATACAATGTATATATACAAAATAATTGAAACTTTAAAAATACACTATACATAAAATCTATTCTATCTATACATAATGTACAATTTATTTCCTTTTCATTTTATATTTTTCTTTTTATAAAGGACTGAATGGTACTTTGCTATAACTGTACATTGCAATATATTTATTGCACAAAAAACTAAATATTAACTTTGGCTTATCCATTACAATCACCGCGTTATGGTGTTGATTGTCGACACCTGAGCGACTTATATTTCCATTTATAATTATACAATGGGTAAAATATCATTTTCCCTTATCCCATCACAGAAACATAATTCGTTGGCTCACAAGGTTCTATGTTACAATTTTAGTACTTATTTAGTTATTAATGCTACAAGGTTTTATGTGTCATTAGCTACAGTTTTGCAAAAACAAACTACTAGATAGCGGCCCTTTAACTACAAAATATTCAATTTTACATAGTTCTATGTTGTTTTTTTTTACGATAACAAAATAACGAAGTTCTATGTAAAAATTACTAAACTTTACTAAAATTAACATAGAACCTTGTAATAGTGAGCCAACGAATTTATGACAATAATAAAAGGATTATTTAGGTGCAACAGTATACAAAGTATTGATGAAAAGTAACATAGTTAAGTTTAAAATTAGAATGGCACATGTGACCAATTTTAGATAAAAATACCACTCATAATGAATACATTATCAACAAAAAAATACAGATATTATGAGCAATATCAAATTTGAAAATGTAAAAGGTGCCAACTAAATCGATTACAAATTTTTATTTAAAAAGATTTTAACTCTATAAACTTTTATAAATTATTGCATGACAAGATTCTAATTTGGAATGATGAGTTAATTAAATAAAATATAAAAACCTCATTGTTTAAAAAGTATGACCTTAGTTTTTAATTAATATTAGTGAATGGTAACATTTTAACTAATAGAAATAATATATTAAAATGTCACATCTTACATTAAAAACTTTCATAATATTCCATTCCAAAAGGTGTTGTAAATTATAAATTTCTAAAATCAGTGAAAATGTAAATGATTTACATATAATAAAGATATTATTTATATAATTCTATTGTTTCTTATTAAATAAAAACTCTTTAAAAGATAATGACATGTTTTCAGTCCTCCTCGGCACATTGACCTGGACGATACCAAGTGTGTACTGTTAAGCCAGTACAAATGTAGCAAATATGTGTGCCTTGAGGCTCTCACCGGCAGGGCAGCGGCACACCTGGTTAGCCGGCTGGACCTCATTCTGTTTTTTGCTGACAATATAGTTCTTTTAGTGACTTGAGTTCCTCTATGAGTGCTTTGTTTTGATTTTCTAGCACTGCAACTCTATTTTCGAGGCATTTTATATATTCTTTCTTTTTGCGTCGACACTCTCTCGCTGCTTCTCTATTTTTTAGCAATCGTAGTTCACGTTTACGTGTTTGGTCCTCTAATATAGGTCCTGTAATAATAGCACGATTTGTTCGTTTCTTCTAAATATTTTTTTACTAACACCTTGGCTTAATAAATAGAAGATGTTTTAAAAATGATACTCACCCGGTACATAAAACTGTCCATCTTGATTTGTTGCATACTGCACTATTGCACCCCCACCAGTAGTACCAGAGACCGCTAATGTGTGCAAACCACTATCTGTTTGAAGAGCTCCAGCTGGAATCACTATAAATACAAAATCTTATCAGATTTATGCTTTTCACAGATAATATTAACAATCTCACAATGAGCGTCAAAGTGTCAACATCTACTGTAGTCAACATTTGAGTTTTATAAAGTAATAATATATATTAAAGACTGTGCCCTTATTTTCAACCGACTTCAAAAAGGAGGAGGTTCTCAATTCAACTGTATTTTTTTTTAAATGTATAACTCTAATATGTAATAGTAAAATTACAGAACTGCTGGTGGTCTTCCCATTTATTTAAGCATTTTTAATAATCATAACAATTTAAAAAAGTAATGATTATTCAACAAATCTTACAACAGCAGTAAAAATAACTTCTATACACACTCATCGCATTCATACTAATCATGACGTCATCGCCGCCTCAGTTCGTTTTCGATTACGTCATTCGCTTATAGCACAAATAAACCATTATTAAAATTACTAAAACCTAAAAAAGAATATTTACATATATTAACTTGCAAATTATATTCAAAATATGTGCACCTAATATGAGCTAAAATGCATAAAATTAAAAACCTTTCTGATAGTTTCCAGCAAAGTCTTATCTTTGCAAATTTGCTCACACTAAATCATTAGAGAATAATGGGCTCTTAAACAAAACTACCACTCCATTGGCATTTATGAGATTGAGGAAAACAAGTTTTATAGAAATGTAAACCAAGATTCAACAATGATGGTTCATGAAACATAAATGATGAAGTATTTTGGAAGCTGATTGTTATGAGCGATAAGAATCAAATCGCAAATATTAATGGTGATTGTAACAGGTTAGTGACACATGTTGCACACAAAACAAAGAGTGTCAGCTGCAGCACATTTAACTAACCTGGCGCAAATGATAAAGAAGGTGACAGCGACACCTCACTTTCCAATCCTTTAGTTCCCATACGATTTTCTGTAATTATTATCATATTCTTTTATACTATCTGTTAATCAGTATAAAGTCCTGCGCTTTGCTGTTTTTTTGAACCTTTTAGTTATTTTTAGGCATTAATAAATTAAAAATGTGATTACAGTAATAGTTAATTTATTTTAGATAAATGTAAATAAAAATATAACCAAACATTACGTTGAAATAATATACCTAATGTTTTCATTTTATATAACACTCCAAAGTTTGTAAACAAATATTCAATAGCACATTCTTTATATATATATTATTCTTGTTAATGTAATGTTGACTGACATGTAACACTTTCATGCTTCTAGTCTTGTATATTTTCTATGTACTTAGCAACACCTTACTTAAATAACATACCAGCAATTTCTCCACCTCCAAGATCATTGAGAATTTTTCTATAAGAAGGACGTCGAGTTAACATTTCTCTGTAGTTTCTTTTGGGATTGTCATCATCACTACAACTTTCATCACTGCAGGATTGTCCTTGTGTGCTAACTACACTATTTGGTTCAGGTTTTATCTATGAAATTAAAATGCTTCATATAGTTTTTATGTTAGTACAAGTAATAAATATATAATAATGTAATCCTATAAGAAAATTATTAGAAACCTGTAATGTTTGCAATGTTCCTTGAGTAGTATGAATAACTGAGCTTGGTTTGCTAACCAATATAACATTTCCTTTAGGAAGTTGAACTGACTGTATATTTGAGGCTGTCTGGATAACTGACTGTTGATTAGGTTGGATAACTGATTGGACCTGCAAATAATAACAATACAATATCATCAATATAAAAATCTAAAGAAAATAAAATTCAGAATGAACAAGTTAAGCTTAAACAAATGTCACTGATTAACAAAAAATGCTAAGATTTGTTTTAGTATCGTTTACACAATAATATTACCATTGTTGATATAATGCAAATTGTCAAAATAAACACCTGGGCTGACGGTGCTTGTGTTGGCAACGTAAGTTGCACAATACTGGTAACGACGACATGAGGCGTGGTACTGGCCGATGAGCCTGCGCCCGCCAAGGAATCGGTCACGCCTGCTGCGCCAGATGTGCCGTTTTCTTCCACCATTCCGTCCATGCCCACTACGCTCACCTAAAATATTCAAGGTCACCATTCTGTGTATTCCTTGAACTTCAGATACACAAAATTTCTAAAATGATTCGATGATATTATTATCTACCTCGCTTAGAGACACACTTGATAGAAGCATTCTAAAAGAGTAATATCGCGTCATTCTAAGGAAATTTTCCTATTGCGTCTATTAGCTTATACGCAACATATTTTTCAGGGTTTTAAGTCTTGAACATTTTATATGATAGAATAGTAAAACGTAAATGATATCCATATTCGACACCCCAAAGTAAACGACCGTGACAGACCGCAAGATGTCTTCAGTACGAGCACTCACCAGTTACGTATTCCTCGTCACCGTATATGCTGCGTCCGGAGTGGGCGAACGGGACGGTACGTAGTAGCCACGTCAACTGCGAGAAGACTCGTCACTGGCGGAGACCTATGATCTTGTATGCGTCATAACAATATGGCCGAAAGGCGAAAATTGCCAGACGCATGCGCTCTTGCATTCACCCAATAGCTTCAGAATGTGACAGCAGGAAATAGAAATGTCAAAAAAACACACTTAGGAAGTTAAATGTCTTGTAACCCTTTTGTATTTACGTCAATAAAGGTATTATTAAGGTATTATTATAAACATTTGCATTCTATAAAAAGCTGACATTTTATTTCTAAAGATTTAATATATTAAAAAGAAAAAAGCTGCCTAAACTTTTTATTTATCTAATAAATAAAACATTTTAGAATTAATGAGTATGAATATATGAATATGTTGTATTTTACTTCATAAACAACGTGCTCGTAATATTAAAAGAAATGTTTTGACATATATTAACCGGAAACATATATGAATGCAATTGAAATTTTTAACGTGTTGTCAAAGACAATTGACAGTGACATTGTGTGACAGTAGACAAAGTTTTTATATTTCGTGTTTTTCTTTTAATTCAGTAATTATAACTTGTGGTGCATTTTAATAATACCAGTATAGGATTAATAAAACTATATCTTAATAATAAAATATGACAAGTTTCAAATCTTTATAGAAATGTCGTCAAACTTATATGACAAAATCATAAATAAGGAGGGCTCCAGGCCCTACAAATGTTGCGAATATACAAGTAAAGTCTCTGTTAATCTTAATCTCTTCAGGAGAGATGGAAGATTTTGTGACGTAGATCTTATATCAGGGAAAACAAAAGTTAGGGTAAGGATTATGTTATGTACTTACATACTTTTATAATTTGTACGAGTGGTATTAATAACAATCATAATAGAACATTGTTAGTAATAAATAAATAAACTGTTAATGTACCTAAGCAACTATGCGTTGCTTAAAGGTAAAAAAATAACTATTTATTATATTTATTCTACTGTTGTGAGTTGGTTTTTATTGTATTTTATTTATTGAAAATATAAAATATAATGTTATCAATTATTATTTGCACAAAATTTGATCAATTTATTAAGTTAGATAATTCATGAATATATATTTAATTTATAGGCTCACAGAGTGGTATTGGCTGCTAGTTGTGAATATTTTGATGCTATGTTTAATGTGGGCTTAGAAGAGAGTCAAAAAGGTAGAGTGGTGTTACCTAGTGTCCCTCCTGGTATTCTACCTATGATAATTGACTTTATATATACAGGTAATTATATCAGTTAATATTATTAATTGATAAAAAAATGTAAATCTGTAGTTCCTTTTCATACTCATATAGTTTCCACATGAATGCAGGTTGTTTTTATCGACATATACTATTCACTTGTTACACATCTTGTTGCATAGCTTGATGTTACATAAATGTTTACTTAATTTACTGATCTGTTTAAGATATAAGGACCATATATGAGTTAAAAAAGGTGCTACAATTACTTGAAAAATTATAATTCACAGTGTATGATGATGTTGTATAGGTGAAATTTTAATTGACAAAGCTACAGTTCAGCACTTAATGATAGCAGCTGACATGTTTCAACTCAGAGAGCTTGTAATAGGTTGTGGGGAATTTTTAAAGAGAGAACTACACCCATCTAACGCTCTGGGTATATTTAGGTAATTGTATTTTATGTTATATTAGTAAAATATAAATTGTTTTGTTTAACTATGTGTTATATTCCATATTGCTTATTTATTAACTAAAGTTGAAAGTTGCTTTTTATTATCAATTAAATTTTACTCTATTGATAACTGGTTGTAATAAAAATCTTAATAATATTAAAGCCATTTTTTTTATTTACAAAAAGGTTTGCTGAAACCCACAACTGTACAGAATTGGCTGAGGAGGCACTAGCACATGCTCAAGCTAATTGGAATCTAGTGGCAAATGGAGATGAATTGTTAGAGCTACCTTTACAACAGCTCATAACATTACTATCATCAGAACAACTAAAAGTGGATAATGAAGCCCAAGTACTATCTATATTTATAAATTATTCTTGCATATGAATACGAAACAATATTGCATATTGTTAAAGTTTTTTTTCCATTCAGCCAGTCATTTTTTCCATTTATTATGAGTTCAATGCAATTTGTACATTCTCTAACAACAGTATACACAAACCCATCCATTTAATAAATTGCTGTATTCGTAAGCAACAAGGTGATCATGCAAATTTGGCCCTTTGTGAAAGATTAAAAAGAATGTATGTACATTTTCTTTCTATTACTAAACTGCTATAATACTCTAATATATTTCAAGAATATGTAATGCCTTATTAAATATGATTAAGGGTGAGCGCTTATTGCTTTTGAATGTCCTTATGTTTGATTTACGATAACATGTGCAAATCTGTTTGAACTATTAGCAATCCAACACAGCTAGACAGAAATCAGACAACACCAAATTTAGCAACTACAACCCGATATTTTTTTAAATAGGGTCCAAACATTATAAGGAAGATTAAACCCTTCTGGCACACTACTACATAGAAAACGCTCATCTATAAACTGTAAAGACAGATATAGTTTGTTTAAATAATATAATGAATAATGTCACTGGGACTGTTAAATAACTGGAAACTTTATGACCGTGTAGCCTAAATGTTTAGAAATACACCTGTTTTTGTTTTATTTAAATCAAGTGAGTAGTGTTGAAGTTACGACAATTTTAGTTTCCATACTATTCAAATATTTCGCGCGAACTCTATCCTCGCGTGATGTCATTTTACAACGCAACATTCTCACTGTACACTCATTCATTGCTTTGCTATCGGATCTTCCCTATGTTCGGCCACAATAACATTCTTAACTTAAGTTTTTAAGTGAATCAGTGTTACAATAGTGTTAGAACTATAATATTAGATATAAATAAATAAATATGTTGGAACATTAACGCAGCACCTGGAACTAGAATCCATGGTAAGCTACGAGGTTTGTGTTGTGAATATCAGATAGTTGATACACTATACATGTGTATATGACTTTGAATACATACATATTATAAATATAAACATCCATGACTAGAGTACAAACATTGGTGCTCTTCATACAAATGAATGCCCCCATCGGGACTCGAACCCGCGAACGCTGGCACAGCAAGTAAGATCACTACAAACTGCGCCAAACGACTGAGGACTCAGGCTCAGTTTGTATTTTACTTATTTATAATAGTAAACCTAACCTGAACATTATGTACCAGAGGTACAACACCTTTTAAAATTTGAAGCCATAAAATATTGTTTTCATAAGTAGGTTATTATTAGGATGCACGCGACTACACCTATTAAATATTATCAAGCTAAGATGAAAAACCTCTCATATTCATTTCCTCTGTAATGTGACCGTGGATAAATGCATTTTTATATATTTTATTTTCTAGTTTCTGGATTCGACATTTTTATCACTTTTCGACGCAAACTTTATACACACAGGTCGGGAGCAGAGCACGCACTGACTGACTGTTGTAAAATGACGTCACAGCGGCCGATGACACCGCGTCGTCGCATGCCTAACTAAACAATTAAATATCTCTGAAATTATAAGACGTATCAAAATAAAAAAATTACGGTATTTTTTCATTTTTAATAGATTATTTTGTAAAATAAACATCAAAAGTTGGTGATATTCTTCATTGTCGTTTTTGGTCATAAGATTACATATTAGTACTGTAGTTAACATATTATTAATAAGATTACATATTATTACTGTAGTTAGTATAGGGTTGAAAAATATTTTAAAGCTTGAATTTTTATTCTTAAAATTAAAAGGTCTCTTATTTCCATAGGTGCTGTATCCTGCACTAAAATGGCTTGAACATGATCCTACAAACAGAAGGCGGCACTGTTTTGAAGTTTTAAGTCATGTGCGATTACCGCTTATTTCCCCTCAAGTTTTAGATGATGCAATAAAAACTGTCCAAGATCCTTCAATAGCTGTTGCATTAAAAACCGTACGAGTTGATATGGTAAATAATTAAACTATCTTTCATTTTTATTTATTTCTATATCTATCAATAATATTGGTAATATATTAGTATGGATTGCAATTAAATAACGTGGAGAGTGAGAATTTTGTACACGACGTTATTTCGCAATCTGGCAACGTTCTATTTATATACAATAAATTTTTTTACTACAACATCGACTATTAGAGATAATAAACAATAAACATAAAAGATCTTCTATAGAGCATAAAATGTATACTTTCGTCAATATTATAATTTATAACGCAAATATATTCTATTCTGTAAACATTCAATAAGGTACCTACTTATTACGGTTCAAATGATACAGGGTCTTTAAAAAAAGGAAAGATTGGTCAATGTAAGCATCAGAATTGGTACTAAACTTTTGTGTATGGAACCCTAAAAGTCTTTTATTCTCTAAAAAATCTTTATTTTAGTCCTGAAACCTATTAATTTTAATTTAAGTATGATATCTTATTGCCGTACGAAATGTATGACAGTTTCAAAGCTTATAAAAAGTATGTCAATTGATTGATGGAACTTCTCAATTTGTACTGTTGCATTACAGAAATTTCACTTTTTTTGCCAGTCATTCTAAATATAACATTTCTTCTCCATTCTACGTTACATAGCTGAAGTAAATTGTTCCTATAAGGCTCTCCTAGAAGCTACTGAACAAAATAATAATTAGGTTATTTTGCAGAAATCTGGTCGAGGTGCGCTAGTGTGCCTGTCCGCCGAGCCGCGCGAGCGCGCGCGGCGCATGCTGGTGGTGGCGGGCGGCTCGTGCCACGACGCGGCGCCGCACCCGCCACACGCCGCCGACAACATACTCACATCTGTACTCAAGTTCGATTTGCACAAGAGGTAGACATTTTACATCACAAGTTATCTTAGTTGGCCGTTGGCCTATAGACGTTTTTGGGACTAAGATTATATCCAAACTAGTGGTAGATTATTTACAGTAATAGATTGTTTCATTAGAATTTACATTAGTGACTTGTAGGAGATCCAAATAAGCAGTAAATACTTTACTAATATCATCTAATTGATCGGTAAGATTATGATGAATACGATACGATTATTACAATAAACATTTTGTAATAACAAGAAATTAAATTAAAAATTAAATAAAAACCAACGCAGTACTTTAGTAAAAGTTGAGTATCTTTCAGATTCCAGGGAATGGTACAGCATCAGGCCAACGTTACCATAATAATAGTTACAGTGCAATTGAAGTAACGGGATACCAAGTTTCGAATGAATTAGATTTACGGAAGATCTTGCATATCCTTTTCCCTTCTAGAAATGAGGTGATGACTTGAAAACGGCTGAAAGGATTTTTTTGATTTATAACTGGCTGGGAACACTCGAACGTTATCTTTTAAATAAATCAAAATTTAATTAAAATCGGTTCATCCATTTGGGCGTTATGATGCCACAGACACACTTAGATACACAAGTTAAACACAACACCCCTCTTATTGCGTCGGGGGTTAGAAATTACTCATTTTTCTAACACTTTTAATGGCTATTGACCCTTATGAATTTTATTATTCTTCAATGTTCTTAGTCTTTTGCGTGCATACGAAACTTACATATAATGCAAATTTTTAAAATATTTTATCGTTAACATTTAATCGTTTCAAGAGAAAAATAAGTATTCACTAGTAAATAATACAGTGTAGCGCTTGCATAATAACATTTTAGCCTAGAAAATTATCGTTTAAACGACATTTCAAAGTTTCTACAATGCATATTTAAATATTATTATATCATATTTCAGGGAATGGGAAGAATTATCGCCGATGGGCATAGCAAGAATTCAACCGGGCGTCGCGACTTTAGGCGGGCGCGTGTATGCGGTGGGAGGAGAACAAGGCAGCCAAATATTAGCTAATGGCGAGGTTTATGATCCACAGGTATGGTATGGTATGTTCGGGCTGTTTTCCGCAACTCGACGACTATGCGCCTATTTTGCGTGTGTGGGAATTTAACTTCTTGTTACTCTTGCCATCCCAGTTCCTCCAGGAATTTCAGCAACCTCTTTGTCTTGCCGAAAATTTCCGGGAGTGACCTAGGAGTGCCAAGATGTTGAGCCCGGTACGCCGCTACACCTGGACAATACAAGATCACATGTGCAGTGTCAGTTATACCTATATTAAATAGATGTTTATTTTATGGTCCGTGGCCGGTTAAGGCCGCGGTTATTTGCCTGAGTTGAGGTCTGTTAAGTTTGATGATACGGTTCGACATTTTGGCATCAATGTTTGGAAGCGATTCTTTCGCCTGTCTGCAGTCTACAACTTCACGCCATACATTGTTGTGTTGGCGTTTAGTTCGTTGTCGAATTTGGCCTTTGAGCCAGCAAGAAGGTAACGAGACGATGGGCTCTGGTCCTATCGCCGTCATGTCCGAACCCCTTCTTGCTAGCTCATCTGCCCTATCTTTCCCCCACGAGTTACTGTGGCCTTTGATCCATTGTAAGGTGATCTCATTCCGGTCAGTTACCTGTGTCAAGGCCTAATGACATTCATAGATCATACCTGATGTGGTAGAATTACTATTTAATGCCTGTAGTGCTGACATGCTGTCTGATAATATGCGGATGGAGCAGTCTTCCACCTTCTTTGTCGCAATTGTTCTAGCTGCCTCAAGGATACCTAGACTTTCAGCTTATAACACCGTGTTGTAGGTACCTAGAGGTATTGAAGTTTTAATGTTTAGATCATCGGAGAAAGTCCCCGATTTGGTTTTCGAGCCGTCGGTGTAGATTCTTAGGTCCTTGCTGTCGCGACCCTCACATGTATCTTCCTCCAGCTGTATTTTATATTTTTTGTCAAAAATGTATTTTATGTGTATTCCATCATTGGGTGCTCCCATGAGAGGAATGTCTTTGGCAACGTCTATTAGGATTTTTGTGTGTGGAGTGCCTGTTTTCCTTAGCAGTTTTTCACTATCTAGTCTTATCGCGGTAGTCGCAGCCTCTTGTTGTATAAACAAGTGAAGCGGTAAAAGGTTTAGCATGGCTTCGAGAGCTGCAGTTGGTGTTGTTCTCATGCAGCCCGTCACTGCCATGCACACCAGCATTTGCCAGCTTTGTTGCTTGGTTTGTGCTGTGGTCAAAAGTGTTCTACGCCACCATATTAAGGCACCATAGCTGATCATAGGTCGTATTACCGATGTATATAGCCATAAAGTTATTTTGGGATTGAGGCCCCATTTTTTACCTATCATCCTTCGGCATTGCCAGGTGAGACTGGCTTTGTTTAGTAAATTGTCTAGGTGTTTAGACCAATTTAGTTTGCTATCTAAAGTGATTCCAAGGTATTTTACCTCTGTGGTTACTGTTAAGGTGGAGTTAAAGAGTTTCGGCAGGGTGTAGCTTCCTAGGGCTCTTTTGTTTGTGAACATTATTAGTTCTGTTTTGCGTGGGTTAACACTCAGATTATAGTCATAACACCATTTTTCGACTATATTTAGTGCTGTCTGAGTTAATTCACAGACTGTACTTGTGAATTTGCCCGTTACAAGGATGGCTAGGTCATCTGCATAGCCTATCGTATAATATCTGTTGTTGTTGAGCAGGGTTATTAGGTCGTTGATTACTAGGTTCCATAAGAGGGGTGAGAGTACTCCTCCTTGAGGACATCCTTTGGCCACGATGGCACCTTGTTTGTTGCTGTTACCTAGCCTGACCACTCTATTCGCTAGCATATATTGGATCTAGTCAGCTAATGCTGGATTCACCTTATGTCTGCTGAGTGCGGCTTGATCCACAGGTAATTGCTTTAAATTAATATCGTATATATCTATACTAATATCAACGTTATTATCGATACAGAGGCTGAATCTATAGTTTTTAGAATTTTTGTCTGTCTGTCTGTTACTGCATCACAGAAAATCCACACGAGGGATTTTGATGAAATTTGGTATGGTGATAGCTGGTTATCCGGGTCAACATATAGGATACTTTTTACCGCGGGAAATATCTCATTTCTGAGAAAAAATACAAAAACTGCAATGTAAGAGTATACTAATATGTAAAACCTAAGAATTTGGTTTTTGGTCATCTGAACGCGGGCGGAGCCGCGGGCGGAGCCGCGGGCAATGCTAGTATAGTATAAGTGACTGTACTTATAGCAAATAAGTAGTCAATAAATTTTGTCGTATATCACGACCAGTATAGTGAAGTAAAAAACCAATTAAATAAAAATCAAATAATCCTCGTTACAGTTAGTATATATTATATTACAAAAAAAATGTCAATTAACATTTTTATTTATCAATGTCCACGATTTAAAATGTAATATTTTTGTAACAAACACTTTGAAATTTCAGACGTCTGGTCTGTAGCTCACGAAATTCGATATTGTTTGAAAAAGAAACACTTTTGAGGCACTGACTGTGTGTCTTGAGTTTTATAGAAATATGATCATAATAATATAATTAATACATATTTAATAGTGTATGAAAGTTAAGTATATCGGTTTTATATTTTATTAAAAAATATACGTACTAGAGTAATTTGATGTACATTTACAGACAGATAAATGGTCAAACATAGCGCCAATGAAGGAAGCGCGCTGCGAGTTTGGTCTGACCGCGTGGAACGGGCACCTGTACGCGTTCGGCGGCTGGGTGGGCTCCGACATGGGCGCCTCCGTCGAGGTGTACGACCCCGTCTCCGACGAGTGGACGCTCACCGGCAGGATGCCCGAGCCGAGGTTCGGTATGGGCGTCGTTAACTTTGAAGGTTTGTTAACCGACTTTCAAAAAGGAGAAAGTTCTCAATTCATCGAAAATCTTTGTTTCTTTTTTATGTATGTTTACCGATTACTCGAAAACGCCTGAACCGATTTGGATTTTTTTTTGTTTCGAAAGGTTATACTTCCCAGGTGGTCCCATTTAAATTTTACCCAAATCGGTCGAGCGGTTTTTAAAAAAAATCAACAAATAAATTATTTTTTTAAATAAATTGCTTAATTGAATATGTTAGTAAAAAACTTGCTTCTTACAAATTACCTGCTTATAACGTCTACACTAATTCACACACCGACCGGCACCGACTTCGAAAATATCTGGTTAGATATCTATTCTAAATGAAAACCCACGTTTAGTTATTTTATACTTTTTAGTGCTTGGAAGTCCGTTTTTTTTATATATGTTTCTCTTTCTTTCTCTCTCTCTATCTTTTATAATAAACTGCCTTTTTTTAATTTAAGAAAGTTACTAACAGTAGATGTAGCAAGTCGAAAATGTGATTTAACAATCACTGTTTGAAGACTATTGCCCACTACAAAGGTCGAGGTTCGAGCATTTAAAAATATATTTTTTATGTGATTGCTGATAAGTGTTCTTTATTCATGCATAATAATTCTAAGTGCATTATTACTCACTGTTACTTAGTTTTCTTACTGTGATAATTGATTTATAAATTAAATTATTGTTCCTAATCAACACTTTTTGGAAAGAGAGGAGCGTAAATGTGTGTTGTTGTACGTTCGCAGGTCTGATTTACGTGGTGGGCGGGTGCACGCACGCGTGGCGCCACACGCACGACCTGCTGTGCTACGCGCCGGCGTCGCGCAAGTGGCGCTCGCTGGCGCCCATGAAGCGCGCGCGCAGCCAGGCCGCCGCCGTCGTGCTCGGCCACCACCTCTACGTCATAGGCGGCAACGCGCCCCGCCGCACCGTGCTTGACTCCGTGGAGCGGTATAACTTTGATGATGTATGTTCACCCTTACAAGCGCTTTAGTATGTTCTTTAATATATTGTAATAACTGCCTCGGCAGAGCTAATCTTATACTTACAATCATCTGTGATAATATTAATTTAGATAAACAGAATGTTAACATTAACTGTTAGCATTGAAAAAAAAGTAGTACAAAGTAGGCATTATGTCAGGATTCGTGGGAGGACGTGGCGAGCCTGCAGGAGGCGCGCGCGGGCTGCGCGGCGGGCGCGGCGGACGGCGTGCTGCTGGTGGCGGGCGGCGACAGCGAGAGCGCGGGCGAGCGCGCCTTCTACCGCGCGCGCACCACGCTCGTCTCTGTCGAGCTGTACGAGCCCGCGCGCGACGCCTGGCGCGCCGCGCCGCCGCTGCCGCACTCGCGCGCCGAGGCCGGCGCCGCGCTGCTCTGACCACACACCACCACCACCACCACCATCCGCCGGAAGTGGTCGCAGGCACGACCACTGTTTAAATATCGAATTTGTATACAAATTTATACATCCGCTTAGTTGATAAAATGTAGGTGTGTGTTATTAGCGTCCTAATGCGCGATAGTGCGATGTACAGAGATGAATCTTCTGCCTCCCTTATCCGTAAGTGATAATATGAAGCATTTATACAGATAGATTTGTGTGACATGTTCTGGATATATACACTACATAACAAGTAGTTGGGTAAAAACAATTGATCGTTTGACGACTGTCTCTTAAGATTGACGTATTTATTCGTTATCATGATTTTAAATCAAATAAATCAAAAAGAATCAGCGAGGCAAACAAACATTTTCAAATGTAAGAATAATAGGTACCAGTATAACTGCCAACAGAGGTATGATAATATTCTATTAAGAATAAATAATGCGATATTAAAAAGATTTTTTTTTTGTATACGAAACAAACGTAACTAATAACATTAAAGTAATTCACGTAAACAACAGTAGTGACATTGTTTTAATGCTCGACGATAATTTGGAAAGATTTTGCAATTAACTATTAATATTTAGTCATTCTTAGTGAAAGTCTTGTATATTTTTGTTTGGGAACTATAAACGCATTGAAATGTTCATTTCATTTCAAATTGTATATCAATTTCTATGAATCTTATGAACGTAGGCTAATTTATATTGTACAAAAATTATACATGTATTAAAAAATTATTTCTACATTTTAAATTATCCTTATTAAAATAGTATTAAATATATAATTTTAGATATAGATCAAGCATGAAAAAGGATATTTCATAATTTTTTTTTATCAAATATTAAAAACTAACAAACCTATCACCATCATAATGTAAATGGTCATATTTTATAATGTCACTGACCGCAATTCGCTTTCGCTTCGACACTATCTGCGTCCTTTTGTTACTTCGATGATAAATATAAAAAAAATATTTACTGAACGAACCACTTAAACTATTATTTTACTTGAATTCGGAGAATTTATTAAGGAATAATCATGCAAATTTACCATCTCCTTCCAATGCTATATTTTTTTCTATCCTTAGTTCTGTTAGAGCGCTTTTTTCTACAGACTAATTATATATTAGTATCTTATATTCATCTTTGATCTTAACCATTATTGTGCCAAATGCTATGGAGAACTGCTTAGCGGTTTGACCAGATTGATAAACATATCTTTTTGCTAAAACTTCATGAAGATGTCACGCTTAAGTGCCAATGCCTAATTTAGGTGCACTAGAGACCTGAACAATTATGTGAAATAATAATAATAATAAATACTTTCGGTTCGCCTTCATATTACGATTATACAATCGTTAAATATTAAGTACGAAATTATAGATATATACGTGTTTTAGTGAATATAATTTTTTTTAGCAATTATGTCTCAGAGTAACAAGAAGAAACAAACAGAAAATCTATAATATAAAAATGAATCGCTAAATGTGTTTGTAAGTGCAAATCTCGAGAGCAGCTGAACCGATTTCGCTAGTTCTTTTTTTAGAATATTCCTTGAAGTACGAGGATGGTTCTTACGGAGAGAAAAATTTACAAAAAATGCCTGAAAAAGTCTAAAAACAACACTTTGCTATACTCCCATACAAAAGATTCGTAATAGTATTTAAAAGTCAATTTGATCTTTAATACCAAACCATAAAGTTTAAGTGTTAATGGAGAGGTTCCAGGAAGGCAAAACAATTGAGTGACGTTATTATTGTATAAATATTAATTCAATATTTGTCAATATTATTAACAAAAAAAAATATGGCTAACTCTGACTAATAACTATTTATATCTATTTAAAACCTACCTAGCGACAAACCCGAGCAAAGCGAGGGTGAGCCGCTAGTATTTTTATAAATATTTATAATTATATTTCGATAAGAAGTAGTGAAAAATCGTATAGGATGCTCTTACAGAACGCACTTATTATCAACTTATTGTACTTCCTTTTAATACTTATATAATTTAAACTAAGCGATACCTGCGTTTGCATTAACTAGAAAAAATAAATTTTGTGCTTGATCTATATTAATTTGTTATTTACTATAAAATGACATTAGTATGTTATATGTGATCCTTATTGAATAATTTTGCGTTAATGTTAAAATAAAATATTGAAAGGCTGTAAAAATCATAGGTTATAACTTATGTTTTATATTTCCATGTCGATATAGGAATTTCACAAGAAAGATCTATTAATTTTATTAATCAGGGCTACTGGATAAGTGATTGCAAAAAACTTAGTAGGTAAGTAGAATAAAATAATGAGACATTTTACTACACAAAGATCATGAGGTACATAAAGATAATGATATGAGTGGAATTTAAATAATCTAATATATAATATTTTATATAAAAATATGTATTTCATCAATTCAAAACTAAAAATTCAAATTTAAGAATGTGTCTGTTTTTTTTTAACATGATAATGCTTTATAATATTTTACTTTTTATTTATTAATTATAATCTTATGAGCATTTCAATAATATTTAGTTGGCAAATCCGCCCAAATTATACTATGTTCCAATTTAATTAATGCTGTTCAATTTTTTACTTGTATATAGTGATTATTTATAATATATTATTTACAATACAATATTTTAAAAACCAAACATTCTAAGCACTTTAAAATAATCAATCTATCTGGCAGCCCTCTCTATATTAAACAACAATCTATTGAATTTTCTACACTCTTATATCTTTACAGGTAATAATTTATGAGATAGTGCTGTAGTGATTTTTTAAATACACTTTATATTCTAGTTGTGTTAGTAGCTTCATTAAATAGAAGATTTTTTATTCATTGTTATAACATAACTGAATTTTATTCAAAATGCAGAGAGAGAGAGAAAATTTATCATACATTAGGTTAATAGATAATGGTGTGTACTGATGTATTACAATTAAATAATTTTCATTAATGAAAGGATGAGTAAATTAATATTCTATTTTTAACTATATCAATACCTACATAATATTTGGTTTTAAATATAATTGAATATTACAAGGCTAAACAAAAATATTCTCAGTGTGTTATATAAAACAATTTTGCTTAGCTTTTAATTATATAACAAAATATATTTTGAATTATTTTTTATTTAAAATCAGAATAATTAGTATTAAAAGGAGCTTTATATCATCACACTCATCTACTATGTTTAGACGATACTCTAGACGATATTTTACGTCCCAAGCATATTATTATTTAATTTAAACCACCTTTGAATATATTGTATAACTGACCAACATTTTTATAATCATTTTATATGATACCAAAATAAGTCATAAAATATGTACAAAATTATTATGTGTATTATTTATTACTGTCTTTATTTATAATAAGTAGAATAAACTAATTTTAAAATAAATTATCTCTTCAGAAATTACTTAAAAATCTCACTTACACAATTTGTTTAGAGATCAAGAAAACAACAGCAACTAATATTCTTTTTATTTTGTTATTCATTCGTTGATTTATATATAAGGAAGCTATAGTAAAGAGACTGAAATAAGACAAGAAGATTTAAAATTAATTTAAAAAAAGCTACCGAAAGGAAGCCATGCAGAGGATAATATACTCGTAATCATTTTTTAACTTTTATCATGCTATCTATCATAGAATGAAAATCCATACAGTAAGTGATCGCCTTTGATTTTAAAGGAAATGCTGTTTCATGAAAAGGGGGTTTCATAAAATAATAAAAGAAACGAAATTTATAGCGCTATCTCATGACAGGTTAATGGTTATAGTTATACCCGTCAACCCTAAAGCCGTTTACCGACTGTCGTATAAAACAATGTACGACAATTGATTGGGTGCGCTTCTTGTGTGTTACGAAAATATCTACCTTCGTTACACGACTATATATGGATTAGTAGACTGTGATATTGTTTTATATCAGTCCTTTAGTCATTCTGCAAACACATAGCTGGAAACTTGGCGTGTAAAGGGTGTAGAATATCTGCTGCCAAGTAGATTCGTCCGAGCAAGCCCTCGAACAAGCAAGCGGGTCGGTCCGGGCGGCGCAGCTCCGAGCCCGCCCTCGCCGACATGCACCACTCCATGAAACAGCACGCACGGTACAAGTGAATGCTTTTCTGCAATTATTATTAGTATGTAAATAGGGAGCAAGCCTTCTTCTAAAGGCTCACTTATTGAATTCTTTTCATTTGTAAATATTACCAATGAAATTTAATTTAAACAAATTTATTTAATAAAACTATTATGATAATAATAATTACTGAATCAATACTGGATCAAGAAGCAAGAGTTAATTGTATGTGAAACCAGTTTGAAGTCTTAGTATATCAAGATGCAAAATTGATGAAGATGAAATATTCATTCCTCAAAATCGGTTTAGCCGTTTTTAGTACTTACAAGGGAACAGGCTCGAACATGTACAGGTCACACAAACCTTATTTTGACATTTTTAGACATAAAATAATTAAATATTGTACCTATTACATTTACATTATGTTTTGTCTCAAGTCTCAAAGTTGATAGCTCATTGTTTTTTTTATTTTTGTATTTAACACTTTTTTTTTAAATATAATGTCCTTACTTTTGTAGCTTTATACAGTTCCAAAAACGCGTAAGCATTTCCACTCACGCCATGGCAGATACTATACCCCTTGCTACATAGCCCTCTATGCCAAATTACTTCTCCACATCTTTTAGCAATTGTAAGATATTTCTCTTCCTTAAACACCTTTTAAAACGTAAATTGATTTATTAAAAAATCATAATGCTCAATTCTTTTATTCTAAAATCAACTTAACAATCGACTTAAGATGAATCTGATATTTTTAACCGACTTCCAAAAAGGAGAAGGTTACCAATTCGTCGGATTTTTTTTTCTTTTTTTTTATGTATGTTCACCGATTACTCGAAGAACATAATAAAAAAAAGTCTGACAATATTTTAAGATATGAATATCTAATAGTTAAATATGTATTTTACGTATCGAAATATATTAGATTGGCTTTGCATCGGCTGGCACCGACTTCGAAAATATCTGATTAGGTATCTATTCTAAATGAAAACCCCCGTTTAGTTATTTTTTTCATTTTAGTGCCTGGAAGTCGGTTTTTATTTATTTTTTAAAGTTTTTTACATACTTGATTTGCCAACACACATAGAGGCACAAATCCCGGTGCTCCGTGACACCATTGCACTAATCGGTCACTTGATTTACTTCCAAGTGACGAAGGAAAATTCCCACTTGGATATTGCTGACTCATCAACCAATCCAATGTAGGTTTTATATATTTGTTTAAATCATCTGGCTTAATGAAATCTTTCGCCTGAAATATAATACAGGTAATTTAGGTTCAATTAACAACATAGTTTTTAAATAACTAAAGAAATTCATCGAGTGGTTCGGAAGATATGAGGGAATAAAGAATATTACAAACAAACAAATAAGCATAGATCACCTGTTTAGATTTTTTTATTTATAGTTGAAAATTCAAATCATAATTGACCGTACGTAAATTTTTCATTTAAGACCAACATTTTCATAACTTTCATGACAGTTACGAAGCTGATTATTTTATTCATAAAAGTGTTACTTATGAAGATTCAATTGCAAGAAACAAATCTCGACAAAGTTTTCTATTTCTTTTTTTTTTGTAAATTTTTCAATATGGTCAGGTCGAAAAGTGTCAAAAATTCAGAAAAAAAATCATAACTCATAAACTATGAAAAGTCGCGTAATATACATAGGGGTGATTCGGATACCCTACGATACGAGGGACCTAAATTTTATTTTTGGACGTCAACGTTCCGACCACCCCTGTATATGTTTTGCTCAATAATAGCTAAACGACGCAAGTCAGGGAAGTCTGTGTTTATGATATTTTTTTGTAAAAAATTGCGTTATTTCAGAAAAGATACATAGGTATATAAATAAACTTAAAAAGCAAAACCTTATCATGATACAACATTTGATCTAAATTGTTAGTTATTATAAGCTGATATGTGTAGCTATTAGCAGCTTTAAAAAAATTAAGTACAAGAGTCAATACCTTCGAGCCAAATGTTGATATTCCGGCAAATTAGCAGGGCGCTGGGTACCAAGTTTATACGAAATAACAGTTGCTATAGCAAGTGGCCCAGCATCACCACATATAAAACTAATTCGACGATTCTTCAAATTACTTATGTCTATATAAGCCAATGCCATCTGAAAAAAATAATATAAGTCAATGTTTTTTAAACGAATTCGCAAGCACGCACACACACACACTGTGCGCGCACACACCTAAACTCACGCACATAAATCATTTTTGAATATTGGTAATTTTGAAGTATTAGGTGAATAAAAAAGATCTGTAACATTTGAGTCCTAGTCTCACATTTCCAAGATATTTCAAAGTAAAGATAAGGATAGAAAATATTCAGTTTTTCCATTCTATCTGGATCTTTCCAGTTTGATGTAAAATAATTACATTTATAATGTTGAACTTATTTTCATGGAATACTATTGTGAATTTTAGTTAGTACAAATACAGGGTTGCAGATAGCAGCTATTGAAATATTTTAGGTAACTGTTTTTTAAATTCTATATTCCTAAATAGCGACTTAGAAGAGAGGGTGCTTCGCTCGGGTGCATCCCTATTTAGGTGGGTTTTATTGTTTTTCAATGGAACCCTAATTCTTTTTCTAAAATAAAAGTAGCCTATGTTACTCCTTATAACATTAGCTATTTTATTTATATTAGCTTTTATTTCTATTAGTTTATTATGGATATATCCATTTCGGAGGTTAGTCGGAACAGACAGACAAAAACTTTAAAAATTGTGTGTTTCTTCTAAGTACATTATAAATCATCTAAGTACATACATAGATAATTTCATATGAATTTAGTAACAAGCTGTTATTTTGATATTATAAACAAACGATGAGACAGATGCACATTTTATTTATCTGTATAGATTAAAAAGATACTATCTTATGTAACTTCTGCTCAGGTGAAGTTCAGCACCTTAGATCAATTCAACTATTTAAAATAATTTACCCAGTTAATAATGAATTTAATGTCTACTCATCTTGACTGGCTATAAATATGCTTAGAGTGATGGTAATTAGTGGATTGTCAGTTTTTCATATAAAATCCATCCATTACTTTAATAGAGTCAGTTCCAAATACACCCAAGGGAGGCATATGAATTCATGTACAAAAAACAAAAAATGTCAGAATAAAAAAAAATAAAAACATTGCCCAAGATGGACTTTATGTAGAGATTTCTTAAATAATGATGATGTTCTCCTGACCGATTCCGGCCACGACGGAAAATCTCATAAAAAAAAAAATTATAGTGCACGCACGCCTGCAAGTGTACGCGCAAACACAAGTGCACTCTCACTTATTATTCCTGTCACTCTCATACTCTGGTGGGACGACCACTCAACACGACCAGTGAGACTTAAGGCGCAGGACCGAGGGCTTTACCGCTCAATGACAAAAATGACAAATTTGCTCTCCGAGGCACGAGGGTGAAACACCACCAACTTCCCAACTCCGAGCTGTTACTGAGGCTTACTATACAGAAACTCAATAACTAAACTTGGCCCGACCCGGGACTCGAACCCAGGACCTCCGGTGTGCAGCTGTACATGCTATCCAATATGCCACCGAGGCAGTTCTCTTAAATAATATTAAAGGATAAGCTTTTTTATAAATTTGGTATACAATTCTTATAAGTTATTATTTTCACACACTTTCATATACTATTTGTGCAAGTCTAACTAGTAAATTCATTGCTGAATTATAGTTCTGCGACTTGTCAGGAAATCTGCATCTTTTCTATTCTACTTGACATTACCTATGTAATTTTTGCTCAACTGGCACACTTTGAAACCATTAGCAAGAAAATTAAATCGAATTGAAATAATTTAACTTAAGAATATCATACCTGCAGTGTATCATGGCAAGCTTCATTTCCATGAAATGAATTTATTAAATAAAATAAAGCTAAGCCAGTAGAACCAGTGTATATGGTTTCATCATAGAATATATCTTTTTTTAAATTATTGGTTAAAAACAACAGTTTTTCGTTTTTAAATTGTTCCACCATATCATGAAATTGTTTTGATATCTAAAAAAAAATGTTTTATTTATATGCTGCATTTAGTTGTCTTAAATAGTAATTGTATAGGAATAGTTATTAATATTTTTAACATAAATGTAGAACACATAAATAATACCGAGTCTCTAGTGTTGTTAAGAATGTCACATGTTGCACTACAGGATAAATCTTTAAATGGATTTTCAAAATATTCCATAGAAGCCATGTCTTTTGTTTATTTGAGTATGGTCACAAAACTAACAATTTTGTGTAACATTCTATATGTAATTTTATAAATTTTTAAAAGAGATTCAAACCATACTTGTATAACAATTATCTACAATATTGTAATTTGAAATTTATTCTAATTTCTAATAGACATATTGTTGATTATTGTTATCAAATATCAAACATTTAGCGGACAGATTTACATTACAAGATTTGTCATTTGAGACCATGGATGACAAATAAAATTTGAGACTATTGATTATTGAAGTGGATGACAATTGACAAATAAAATTTGAGACATGGATGATGACTTGAGATTATATTTGATCTAAGGAGATTGGAGGGTAGAAGTAAGGAGTCCATTTCAGTGTATTTAAAAAGTGTCCGTTGAAAGGGGTCAAATTAAGGTGGCGCTATAGTAGCAAGTGGAAGAATTTTAAAAGGAGCGCCACAAAGTATCAGAGTAGTATCCAAATATATTAAAAAAGGAAAGATAAATTTCCGCTTTGTTACAGCACATTTTTTTAAAGTATTATAATATACAGACAAACATAATTTTTTTTTTTATTTAAGTACCCCAATTATTTGTAAATAGCAAATAGAAAATGGTATTAAATAATAACCGAAATTAAAAAAAAATTGTAACAAGCAAATTTTCAACCCAGCACACTTCACTCTGTTTGTAACTGCTAAACTGTTAAATAAATTGTTCGAACAATAATTTGCTGTTTACAAGTGGAAACTTTTTCAACTAATCCCCCATATAAAACGATCCTCCTTACTTCTACCCTCCATAATTTGATCACAAACTATATTTCGTCTGCTACACAGAGTACATTGGTATATACTGTCTGCTAGCTGTTTTTATTTGTCATCCATCATGTCATGTAAGAAGTCATTTGTCAATGTCTTTTTAAACTTAAAATGATTAATAAATAATAATTGTCATTATTCATTATTCTACGCTCAATCAAATTTTTAAATTTATTTATCTTCTAATAATTAAAACTTGATTATTATTTTCAATACTTGAAATTACGATGTTTGCTTCCATGAAATCTTTTTTCAAATGGAACTTGTCAAAAAATAATGAAAACAAAAAATATACGTCATCCTTAATATTAGTGCTAATTGTAAATATACTTGAAGATGTCCTATTTTGGAAAAAAATGTGGCTTTCTTTATTGTTCTTTATGTTATTTAATATCGTGTTTTTGTAAGTATTAACAAATTTAATAACACTTTTATTATGAATAATAAAAAACAATGTTTAAAAGTTGTTATTAAACATTTCAGCTTTTGTGTCTATCAAGAATTAAATTTCCTTCAATTTGTTTTTGGAGTTTATATTATAATTGTTGCTATTGATGCATTTGAAACATGGTTGAAGCATAAGCATCGTACATCATGTCTTAAGAGATTAATAATTCATGATAACAATAAAATAAAATTAGTTGTTTCAAAAATAAAAGCCTGGATTGAAAAGAAGCAAATGGGCTTCATTTATCTCCGTGATAGAAATCATACCAAAGTAAGTGTATAAAATATTATTCTGCTCATTTGTCACTAAATACATAATATAATAAGAAATTAATAATTTTAATTTTCAGGCATTTTTACTTCTCCAAATTGTATTAAGTTTTATGTTATTTATTGGAAAGTATACCGATGGATACACATTGATATATTTGCTATGCACAGTATTATTTTTCTTACATAAACTCATACCTCCTTTAATCAAAATTTTAAAAAAAGTTCAGCAAAACGCAGGTAATTAAAGAAATAAAATGTATATGCTTACATTTTAACAAGAATTTATAATGATGAAAATTCTATAATATCTTGTAGAGTCTGAATTTGAGCTTGAAGGTCTGGTACCAGATGAATCTGAAATAAACTTGGACTTATTATCAATAGAGCCAGATCAAAAACTTGTGATTGATGAAAGACAAAGTCTAGGTAAATAATAAGAATATCATAAAATGTGTTTAAAAAAATACTGTTTTAAATTAAATTTGACAATGAAACAAACATATTTTACAGATTATTGGAAACCAGATGATTTACCTCTAGAAGAGGCAAGTGATAGTTCAGATAACAGCAGTTCTCTAGTAACAAATTTGTCTACAGAAAAATTGCAAACTCTCTCGAAGGATGTAGAAATAACAGACTCAAGTGAAGATGAATACATACCTCAAGGTAAATGAAATACGAAACTTGGTCTACTTCATTATAAAAACCTTATCTACCTTTTTATGCACAATGACATATAAAAAAATATCATTCTAATTTTCACTTTTAAAATTATATATACATAATACATATTTAATGAAAAAAATAAAAATGTTGTCACTGATTGGTAATTATTACTATTATAGAAAATTGTCAATTTTAAGCCAGTATATATTTAGATTTTTTGTCTTTGAACCCTTAAAAATGGAGCTTAAGCTTGTTACCTATTGTTTATAATATGTATAAAATAGTCATTGTTAAAAAATATTTAGGAAGGTCCATACAGCTTCCTAAATATTTAAATATTATTCAAATCTGAATAACCTCATTTTATTTTTAAATTTTCCATCTCATTAAAAGTTATGAGGGGAAAATGGAAACATAATGTTTTCGATTTTAAAAGCATGTCTATCCATAACTATTGCTTTAATAAGAAAAGTCATTTATAGAACTTTGATCTCATATTTAAAAACCTATTCTAACAAAAAATATATATGTAAAGATGCTGTACATGCTCATTTGCACTTTTTTTCTTTGAGTTTCTTAAGTACAACATTGTTTAGGATTTTTCGTGTGACAAAGTTCAATACTATAGATCCTATCTTTATATATATAATTCTTCTGTGAGTGTGTATGTCACTGAACTTCTCTCAAACGACTGGACCGATTTTGATGAAATTTTTTGTGTGTGTTCAAGGGGATCTCGGAATGGTTTAGATTCACAATTTGAATAATAATTTTCATCAAAATGGTCCAGAATGTTTTAGCTTATTAAAAAAAGTTTGAAATTTTCAAATTAAAGACGTGTAGACAGGACAACGTCTGTCGGGTCCGCTAGTAGTCTCCTAAGTAAATGGCTTTGACATATGGAACACAGAATCTAATCTTATATTAATTATTAATCCTAACAATAACATATTGTTATTAACTGAAAAGTAAATAAAAACATCCTAATACATTATTCCCAAAATTATTTCAGACCAACAATCGGAGCAGTTCCAGTCTTCCTTAGAAGTGCAACCAACAGGGTCTTGGAGTGGTGCAGCTTTTAATCTATTGTCTAATTTTGGTGGTGCAGTAGCTAACATTGTATACAAAACGCAGGATGAAAAGGAAAAGAGAAGAAAAAGAGTCTCTAGTATGGACTCATCAGATGGTTTTGAAATGATTGATAAAAACGATTTTCAATAGATGTACTTAATGTAATAAGAAAAACGAATTATCATAAACAGTTCTTACAGTCAATCTAATTTTATATAAGTTTTTTTGACATATCAAATACAACAGTGTATTTAACATTACATAAAAATTATTTTAAATTATATTAATTATTGTCCAATTTAGACATCAATTCTTTATGGTGTTTCTTCAAAGCTTTTAAACGAATACTACTTAAAGTGTTTCTTGCAACAAGGGCTTCTAACATAGGCCGTGATATCTGAAATAGGTTTGAATTAGAATGGTTAAGGGAAGCAAAACATTAAAAACAAATTAAAATTGAAAAAAAAACATAGTTTTTATCATACATGATCCAGTTATATCTATATATATAAAAATCAATTGCTGTTCGTTAAGTCTCTAGTTAGATTTAAATAATTCTTTTTTTGTTTTGTTGGAGGTATATCTTATTTACTATTCATATTTGTCCTGTAGATGAAAATCAATATATAGGTAATGTATAATTTTGGATAAATACAAATTTGCTGAGCAACTATGTTTCTGTAATTACCTTTTCAACTATGTGCCCTATTGCTATAGTTCTTACAGCAGCATTGTGCTGTTTATTAATTATATCATCTGATTCTGCCTCCCCTGCTTCGTTCTTAAAAGATTCATCTTCTTCTTCTTTTAATATTGCTGGCAATTGTGTTAATATCTGTGAATAAAATTTGACAATCTAGATTTCTGTAACATTTATTTTGATATGATGTTGTTTTGGTGAACCCTTTAATCAACTTGTTTTATCAGTTAATTATTGAGTTGTAATTCCAACACCTAGTTCAATAATCAATTCATTGATGCCTACAAAGTTGCCACTTTGTCAATACTTGAATTTGCCTTACATTTTATAGTTAACAAAAATTATTATTTTAAATTGATGAATATTTACTGAATTCATATCATAATCTTTATCTAGGTTCTACAGCACTGTTGGCATACATTATATCTATTAAGATGTATTATTTAATATCTCTTAATAGATCTAAAGGAGAATGATGCATCATTTCAAACAATTTGTCATTACATGAAGAAATATTTGTGTTTTTGAATTTGATAATCATTTGCTCATGCCACTTTACTACACTTAGATTTATCTGACCACAGATGTTGGACATATTATATACAGTTTTTACAAGATAGCAGTAGTAAACACAACCTTCTACATATTTTTGAATTTTGACTCTTAATTTTAGGAAGCCACCCAACGCACCAACCAGTATATTATGATTGTTTGATAAAATATCTCTCCTGACATTCACTTTATTACAATTGGTAACAATTTTTTTTGTTTTATATAAATGACTGGTGGATTGAGCTCAAAAAAATAATATTGTTAGGTGTTTTATAATAAATTTTAGGTTTTTAAATAAAACTACCTAAAGTATCTTTTCGGATTACTTCATGTATTTATTTTACAAAAATCAAAATAAATCTTAAAAGTCATCCAAAAAAATAGTTTTATTTAAAATGTCAAATATTCGTGTGAACCTAAGAAAGTAAAATTTTAGGTGTTTATAATAACAATGATCATGAAAAACTTACTTCAAAATTATTAATAGTAAGTGAATCATTATTATTTGTGATTTCGAGTTCAATTTCCCTCCGGCTTTGATTTGAACCATCACTAACAGATTGAAAACATGTAATTTGAATCTGTGAAAATAAAAAAAATTGGAATTAACAATAATAATAATAAAAATATTGTTAATTTTAGTATTTATTTATTAAAATTTTGTTTATCTTACTGAGGGTGCCTTTGCAGTTTGGTCTGTAAGAAATACAGCAAATATTATACCAACAAAACTGGAGTCCATTCTTTGATACATAGATTGTGTAGCAAGATCTGAAATAGAATTAACTAATTTAAGCATGATATTGTTTAAATTAATATTTAAAAAGCCTATTGTTATATTATTAGCCTTAGTATGTATTAATACCTTTAAATATTCAAATTATGATGAATATTTTTAAACGAATTAAGATCCTGGAAAATAACAGTTTCTTACCAACATGGGATGGCCACACGGTAATGTGTGGATGAGAGTGATACCAGCCAACCACCCTTAGCGGACGTCCAACTTCTGCCGCTAGTTCCTCTGCTCTTAATGTAGCTTGTACTAGTTGCTCTTCCGAAATCTCAACTCTGTCAGGTTTTTTATCTAAGCGCCTCAATATAACCGATGATACTATTGAAACTAATGTATTATTATTATGGACCTGAATCATAAAATTAATATAATATGTAAATAAATTATATTACACAAATGCACTTTGTAATAATTATAGAAATGGAAAGATAGATATCTAATAATATGTGATTAAAAAAATATATTAGCCGGATAAATAATAAATTACCTCTCCTATCAATAAGCCCATTATTTCCTCCTTTTCGGTAGACAGTGCGTGCTGCAAACTCACTAAAGTTACATCGGTAGATAATAAAACTTTTTTTAGCATTTTGACTTTTTACTTAAAAATATACAAATTAGATGATTTTGTAGTTCTTTTTGGGTACAAATTAGTCGATCGTGGTTTAATATGTTATTGATTCAAATAATGTAGGTAGGTATTGAAAAATTTGTTTGTTTACGTCGTTGTCAATAAGACGGATGACCATAGAGACCAAAGAGTATGTAACCATTACGTATATAGACTATGAAATATAAATATGACAATTGTTATCATCCATGATTGTTATCCACTACTTTTTTTACGGAAACAAGTACGGGTAAATTCTCCTCCTGATTACTTACTACATCTACGTACATAGTTGTTTATTATATTTACTAATAAACATTTTAACAATACAAAAGTTTGTAGATTATATATAAAAAAAAATTAAATGTTCCTATTTTATTCCCCTTTACTTATTTCATTCCCTTTTTGCGTATACATAATATATATTTATATTACTGAGAGTTATGTACCCTCGTTTCACTCGAGTGCGTCCCTAAATGCATAATAGAAGCCTTTATGATACTATAGGTCATAGTCTATTTATGTACGCATCCAAAGTCTAGTCGTTTCAGCGAGAAGAAATAACAAACATACATACTCACAAAATTTTGCATTTATTATAGTAGCTCGGTTACGTGATACTGAAGCCAATAACTATTACATGTTACATATTCCATCCTTCATAATGTTAGACAAGCCATTTATGTGTTATCCTCAATTTATCAATCATGGTTCTAGAGATGGTAGTATGTAGCACTATATCGATGCTTTTAAATATAACGTTATTGCTGGGATGCTGTTCTTACGTAACATTGTAAGCTTAATAGTGTAATAATTTGTATTTTATTTTGTTTCTAGTGCCTATAAAGTATGAAAAATATAATACAAATTTATTGAAAGTTTAAATATCATATGGTGCCTTTTCATGATGCTAAGTTAATCACTTGATTTGATTTTAACATATTGACATTTGAAATTAAAATTATTAAAGAGTCCGTGTCGTCTCGTCGTATCGTAACGGTCCGCCGAATATCTGATTATTGTTTTACTTTAGGACTAGATATCTAAGCCTAAAGTACAGTATTTGATTATTAATAAAACAGATTATTAATATTGTATGAGTTGTCGAATAAGAACTAATGTGATAACACAATCACACGAGTCAGACACGGATGTCCTTTATATCTACAATTATCTATACTTATTATAAAAATAAGTCCCCCGGCCGCGTCTTTCTGTCCTCCTGTCTGTCCTCCTGTCTGTCCTCCTGTCTGTCTGAACGCGATAAACTCGAAAACTACTGAACGGATTTTTATACGGTTTTCAACAATAGAAAGAGTAATTCTTGAGGAAGGTTTAGGTATATAATTTATTATGCTTTTATGTAAATTAGCTGAAATACGGCGACAAATGTTGAAGAGGTCGCAAAAAATCTCGCCAAATGGGAACTTTCCACGCGAACGCCGCGTAAACTAGCAAAGATACAGTTAAGTAATGTACTAGAGAATTCAAAATCTATAAAAATGCTACAAAAAAGTCCGCGATAGCATATCTCTATCTCTTACGGTTGACTTACAATAACCACTTTTATGTTAACATTTTTAATTAAAAACATTACGTTATTTTCAAAGTTATTTTCTTTAGTTCGGTATTAATCCTTATCCAAATGAATATTTTAGTTAGCTTAGTCATTTAATGCAGATTAAAATTGCTCTTTACACTAAATCAATCAGATGAATAGTTTTTGAGATATCGTTGTTAGAAGTAATTAGTAGCGAAACATTTTTAATGCTTGGCGAGCATTGAGATGCCTACGGCGAGTCCATCCCCTCTGCCCCGCATCGCTCGACCGCCTGCTCAAGCTATATAAACCGGGCGATGTAGCGCGCGATCCTAGGATACTTTTTACCGCGGGAAAATATCTTATTTCTGAGGAAAAATACAAAAACTGCAATGTAAGAGTATACTAATATGTAACACCTAAGAATTTAGTTTTTGGTCATCTGAACGCGGGCGGAGCCGCGGGCAATGCTAGTTATAAATAAAACGGAGTGGGATTTATGGAATAGTACGAAAGTTTGTATATGTTGATTTTGAAATAGCAAACGAGGTTAAGTAGCTACTGTTACATTTAAACACAATTATTTTTAAGCTATTTAAGAGGAAATTTATTTAAATTGTGGAAAATTCTCTATTTCTTATTTCTGTGTAGTATTACACTTTTTTTAATTCGTAACTATGTTTTTGACTTACGAAAGCTGTTAAATAGTGATAGAACTATTTACAAACTTTAAACTTTTATATTAATAAGCTTGAATTTATTTTATATAAATGTATAATAAAATACTAATTGTATGGTTGATCATCGATATCTATTATAATTGGGACTACTTACATCCCAATCTTTCAATGTAGTAATGCCCTTTATGTAATGATTGAATCAATGATAATGTTTCTTTAGTAGTGTGTGTCCTCCTGATGTGAGTGTTTGTTCTGTGTGTGTGTCACTCGATTATTGATGTTTCAAAATCTTGAGTTTGACTTGTGAGAAACCGCTCGTATTTAAATTTACGTCCAAAGAGTATAGATATATACCGGTTACGTCTCAACAAAAATTTGAGTTATTACTTATTAATCTTATTTTTACACTTGACAGTTGACGTTTTTTTATCCCATAAAATAGTGTAATATTATCTTATCTTTTGTATATTGGTTGTGGCTAAACTGAGAATTGATTAAATCTGTGCGGTATAGATTTTTCAGCCGAAACATCTAGCCTAGATTTAACATAAACCGTGCGTTCTAAAAATGTTTCGTTCTGGAGCGTTGTATATTACGAAACGATCTAAAACTTTACCATCAACACAATGTAAGAAATGATTTCTTTATATAATACATAATATGCTAAGAAATTTATATAAGTTATACAAGTTATTTGCCATTTTTTTTAGTAAAAAATATTTTCAATATTTTGTGAAAAAAACGTGGTCTAAAACAAATAAGTACTTGCATAAATTTTTTTTGAGGTATTTTTTGTAATGACATAGTAAATATTCTTTTACACAATAATGACTTAAATTTAACAATATACACTCAGATTTTGTGGTATAGTAAGACAAGTAGTAATCATGTTGGAAATAATTTGCACATGAAAATATCAAAGTTGAACCCAGGATTTGAACCCATTTCACTCGGTTACCCAAGTGAGCATTACCTGGGCTATTCTGTTCTAGTATAATTAAGAAAATTATATTTTTATTCTATTCACTATATGCACAATGAGTTAGTACATTTTAGTATAATATTTTATAGTATTAAACATTAAGGATTTTATTCATGTAAAATATATTTCTTTTATAGATTCTAGGAACTTATCACAAAATGTATTATTTGAACCAGAAAAACCTGAAATAAAAACATCTGTACCTGGGCCAAAGTCAAAAGCTCTACTTAAAGAGTTATCCTCACTTCAGGTAAAATTATTGAAAAACAAAAACAAATCCATCCCTTGGGAACCATAAATTTTTCCAGGATAAGAAGTAGCCTATGTGTTATTTCAAACTATAATCTATCTCTGTGCAAAATTTCATCCAGATCTGTTCGGCCGTTCTGTCGTGAAAGAGTAACAAACATCCATACATACTCACAAAACTTTCACCTTTATAATATTTATACAGATATAGAGATATGTATTAAGATAAAAGTTTATCAAAAGAAAAACATAATAACTGAATAAATGTTTTTAAATAGGATAATAGACATTATAACACATGTTGATAGAATATGTTTTATCCAAAAAAGCAGTAAAAGAAGGAAAAGAAATGCTAAAAAGTCTCAAAGATAGTGGATAATTTTATAGGTCTGGAGTCCCGAGCCTTAATTTTCTTTCAGTTTCTTCTTATGAGAAAATATGCTACTTATATTATGTATGTATATAGTGCTCGAAAAATAATTTTCTCTTAAATATATAGTCTTGATCTGCTATTATTCTTTGTCTATAATATATAATAAGGAACATTTAAAACTTACTAAAAATGAAAACCTATCAGCTACTTTAATTTTTTCATGTAACTAGTGACTTATGTATTATTTAATATTTTACATACTTTAAACATGTTATCACATCAAAATTCTGGAATGTTTTATTGCTATGTGTTGATATGAATGAGATATAAAAGATTTTAATTTGATAATAATTATTAATCTAAATAAAGTACCTACTTGTAATCTTTTGATTATGATTGAAGTTGAAGCAATTCTTACTCATATTCCTATAAATTTATAATTTTATATTTCTATAGTTTTAATGATATTTTTAACAATAATCAAAATTAAAGCTAAATATACAAAAATAATATATTTCACGGTATCTCTAGGAACGATGAATATATGTAATCTATACTAATATTATAAAGTGGCAGAGTTTGTTTCTTTGTTTGTTCGTTTATTTTTTTGTTTGATTTAACGCGCTATTCTAAGGAACTACTACTCCGAATTGAAAAATTCTTTTTGCAGTAGATAGCCCGTTTTTTGAGGAAGTTTATAGATTATATACAGGGTCATTTTTAATTTACTGAAAACCTTTTGGGAATATACTATTTACATCATAACAACAACATCTGTAACAAGAAAAAGTAATATTTCTTAAATTTTTATTTTCATACAAAATAAAAATATATTTTTTGCTCCTTCTAAACTTTAAAGTTCTAGCATCTGGCCAAGTTTAAATGAGTCAGCGCGGCTTCCTACACCCCTCCACCCCTCCCCCTCCACCGGATACACACTTTCTTTTGCTATTGCTGGACTTATCGTTTAAAAGGTGCAATATAAATATTTTTATTTTTGTTAAATTGAAGATATATTTTTTTTTCTTACAGATGTTATTGTTATGTTGTAAATATTGTATTCCCAAAAGGTTTTCAGTAAATTAAAAATGACCCTGTATAACATGCTACTACCCAAGGGAGCGGGTAAGTACTAAGTACTAAGCAGTAATATAATTAATATATAGTCTATCTATTCCATACAAACCGTTAAAACCTAGGGACGAACCAGAGCGAAGCGAGGGTGAGCCGCTAGTACTTTATATAGATCGGCCACTGGGCCCTATGTCGTCAACTCGTCACATGCGATGATGCCTCATCGTATTCGAAATTATTTCCTTTTCATCTATACAGATAAATAAAATTGAAGTGTCTGTTTGTAATGTCAAAATAACAGCGTTTTCCTAAATGCATATATACGGTACTTATAAGAACACATTTTTTTTATTTTTTGTCTGTCTGTTTGTTCCGGATAATCTCTGAAACGGCTGGACTGATTTTGTCGGGATTTTCACTGGAAGATAGCTGATGTTATAGGGAGTAATATAGGTTACTTTTATTTTAGGGTTCCGCACAAAAAAAAACGTACCTAAGGACGAGCCCGAGCCAAGTGTAGGTGATTCGCTAGTTGCATAAATATATAATTTAGCGAAGTAGGTACACTTTCAAGTGAGGGTTAGTCGCTAGTAATAACTTAATATATAAAACACTAGCATTGCCCGCGGCTCCGCCCGCGTTCAGATGACTAAAAACCAATTTTTTAGGTTTTACACATTAGTATAATCTTACATTGCAGTTTTTGCATTTTTTCTCAGGAATGAGATATTTTATTGCGGTAAAAAGTATCCTATATGTTGTCCTGGATAACCAGCTATCATCATACCAAATTTCATCAAAATCCCTCCAGTGGTTTTTCTGTGATGCTGTAACAGAAAGACAGACAAAAAATCTAAAAACTATAGATTCGGCCTCTGTATCGATAATAATGTTTATTTCAATAAGATTTTTCAAAAATCATTTAATGTACAGATTCGGCTTAGTTACAATTTTATTATACATGTATAGATACTACTTTTCAACATAAATAGAACTTTTATCATAAGTTTCGGTTTCCGCCGAAACTGAGACTGTGGCCGAAGGTTCGGTTTAGGTTTCGGACTTTCGACTGCAAATCCTGTTTAGGTCGACTAATAATTAATTATATTTTTTTTTGTAAATTGTCATTTTGTCCTTTCACAAAGCTTTTCTCAATTTTATTAAATGTTTAAATAATCTCCCGAATTATATAACAAATGTTAATATATTGATATGAACATATTATATAACAAATGATCATACTAGATACGCGGTAATTAGGGATGACGACGTGTACGTATGTCGCTTGTTGGAGCAAAGATTATTGCTCCCGTAATTTTTTGATTCTTTACATAGATACATACATAATAATATGTATCTAAAAATAATTTTACTTTCCGACTTAGGAAACTTCATGAAACTTCTGAACATAGTAATAAAAATCGTGACATCGTAATTTTTTTTATAATACCGTATATAAGCATACGGTAAAGGTATGCCTTTAAACATAATCAAAATTTGGAATGGTATAATTATATTTATAATACTAGCAGAACCTGCGGCTTCGCTCGCGCTAAAACTGCATCTCTACATCTACCTCTTATTAGATGAATTTCGAAAAATGCTAAAACATATATTTAATTGTATTGAAGAGTATTAATACCAAGATTCAAGTAATTCTGATCATAAATATTTTTTGGGTTGTTTTTTCCGTGGGAATGAGATGATCACCCGCGGTAAAAAGTATGCCATATGTCACTCTCCAGCCCTCCGACTATTACCATATAATAAATCACGCCAATCCGTCATTCTGTTTGCACGTGAAAGAAGGACAAACAAATAAACACACTTTCGTATTTATACTATTAGTATGGATATAATTAGTAATTAGGTACATAATATTTATTATGGGCTTACAAAATATTACCTATTTCGCGCATTTAAAGGTCAATAATGTGTGATTTTGCAGCAAGCAGATTCTGTACAGTTGTTTGCTGATTATGACAAAAGCTTTGGCAATTATTTCGTCGACGCAGATGGCAACGCGTTCTTGGACGCTTTTACCCAAATTTCTTCAGTGCCTATAGGATATAATCACCCAGAGTTATTGAAAGCTTTCGACGACCAACACAATTTGGTAATGAAATAAAACTTTTGATAAATAATATCGAAGTATAATCAATATTACAAAGGTAAAAAATGAAATGACTTCACTTCGTCTTCAGAGATCTTTGGTCAACCGACCAGCTCTCGGAGTGTTTCCGGGCGCAGACTGGCCGCAGAAATTAAAGAATGTGTTGATGGCAGTGGCTCCACGCGGGCTTAATGGCGTTTCAACGATGATGTGTGGTTCATGCTCTAACGAGAATGCATATAAAACTGTTATCATGTGGTATCGTAAGAAAGAACGCGGAGGAAGTATTGACTTTACCCCCGAAGAGATGGCTTCGTGTATGGTCAACCAGCCACCTGGTTCGCCGAACCTATCGATTATGTCTTTTGAGGTAAATTGTTTAACTACTTATTTATAGTATACTTTGTTAATAATTATCTTTATTGCTATTTGATCTACGTTAAGGTTTATATGAAGAATAATAATATAAATTTATTTTTAATTTCTTATTTTTTAACACAGATCAGTTAATACTACACGAGTACAAATGCCTCTCCCATACTCTTTGTACAGCGCTAATTCCGGTTATTCTTTGGATTCTTTTCTTTTGTTGAAAAGATAATAGATAATATTTTTGATCCGCAAAATGTCGGACTAGGTTATTTTGAACGAACGAAGTTTTAATGACTATTTATTTATATTATTAAATAAAACTATCTTTTCGGATTATTTCGCGGATTTATTTTGATTTTTGGTTCCCGACGTTTCGAATGCTTTACAGCATCCATGGTCACGGGAGAGACTGAGGTGTTACATGTCTTGAATGTATAGTTGATACAGACAGCCTACCCACAATTAATTTTTGTTAATTGTGGGTAGGCTGTTTGTAACAATTATTTTTTGTTAATTGTGGGTAGGCTGTCTGTATCAACTATACATTCAAGACATGTAACACCTCAGTCTCTCCCGTGACCATGGATGCTGTAAAGCATTCGTAACGTCGGGAACCAAAAATCAAAATAAATCCGCGAAATAATCCGAAAAGATAGTTTTATTTAATAATGTCAAACATTCGCGTAAATCTAAGAAAGTATTATATTTATTTATAGTTCAGTCAAATAAGGTCTGAAATCAAAATGTAGTTTTATGATACAAAAATAATGTGTAAAGGTTTTCGTGTCTGCAACTCTCGGCAAGGGTAGAAAAGAAATTGTCTAAAAGTGTTTTTTCGCAATTATTCGAAAACGGTAAAAATTAGATAAAAAAGTTTTAATAAAAATGTGTAGAGCTTAAAATTTTACATCAAAAAAGTTTCACGTTTTTTTTCCTCCGGTCAAAATTAACAGAGTAAGGGAGGGTTTAAATTCAATGGATGAACGTAAATTTTAAAATATCGTAGGTGGTAGAAAAATCTGCGATTTTTTTTAAATTGCTTAAAAAAATCTTATCTTTAATTTTAGAGATACAGTTTTTTTTCTTTTTATTGTTAAAAAAATTAAAACTATTTGAAATTTTCAAATTAAAATTTCAATACTATTTTATATTTTATACTACTTCGAGTCCTACGCCGTTGTTTTTTGATCTCTATTTCTTGATTGAGTCTAAAATTAAAGATTAGATTTTTTTAAGCAATTCCAAAAAAAAAATTAAATTCGCTTATTTTTCTTAATTTTTTTTAAGGACTCTGAAAGTTAAAGATGAAAATTAAATTACCGAAGTTATTCATGATGTTATATTTTTATTTCGACTTTTAGAAGATTCTGACATTAACTATTATATTGACAAGAAACCGTCTACTTCAGAAGAAAAACCACTATCATATAGTTGATACTTCGGCTGTTCTTGCGAAGTTTTGTCGAAAATCTGGTATTCACTATTTTTTTTTAATCAAAATAACTTTGGAACAACTAAACATCGGTGAACATATATTAAACCCACTAAATGGTTATTATTGAGATCCATCGATCTTGATGATGATGATTAATCTATCAGTCACGTTACACACTGTATATATATGTAGATAGTTAAAAATACACATATTATGTACAATGTACATATATCGTATCGGAAGATCATATCTAAAGTAATCAATTCACAGGGTGCTTTCCACGGTCGTACATTTGGAGCACTCTCAACGACGAGGTCGAAACCCATTCACAAGTTAGACTGCCCTGCATTCGATTGGCCGACGGCACCTTTTCCTAGATACAAGTATCCCCTCGATCAACACCAACGTGAAAACCAAGAGGAAGATGAAAAGTAAGAGTACATGTATAGAGACTTTACTAAAGTATATTTGTGTATGTATATCTGGCTGACGTGTAACTCAGCGTGGCAAAAAATATAACTTATTTAAATCGAATTATAAATTACAATAATTCTCTAACATTGAAATATTCAAGAGGCAATCACATTATCAGTGGTAGCCCAGTGGTAACGCACTCGCTTGGGAACCGAGTGAAGCGAGTTCAAATCCCGGGTCTCGCACCTCTGATATTTTCATGTGCGAATTATTTCTAACATGATTACCACTTGTCTTAACGATGAACGAAAACATCGTGAGGACTGAGAGAACCTAGGAAGTTTTCTAAAGACATGTGAAGTCCGCCAACCCGCACTTGGCCAGCGTGGTGGACTATGGATTGATACCCCTCGTATTGAAGGGAGGCCCGTGCCCAGCAGTGGAACGTTAAAAAAGGCTGTATACAATCACATTATCTCCACGGTGTGTCCCTTCTTCTCTTCCTCTTCCATAAATTCTTTGCTGTGTACTTGAATTTGTGTCCTGTAGTTTAGTCTTGAACTTTAACTAACAGTACGCAACTGACTAAAATGTACGTTGATTTTATAAGTGGCACAAACAAAAGTCACTAATATTATATTCAATATTTTTACCTTTCTACTCCTTTAATTTAGTCTTTTATTATTGCTTAAACTGTTTTGTTAAATTTCTCAAAGATTCATTAGAAATAAGAACAAACTTGCAGGTTAATTATTTGTATTATATAATTTTAGCTATGTTATATATGCGTTTATTGTAATAGATAAAATATATCGTTATTTGATTTTAATATAAATGGAATAGCAAGGGCATTTAACATTGTTTCTCCCATCTCGAGCGTCACACGTTATGCAACCTGTTGCCTATGTTATTGAGATTTTTTTACACCATGAAAACAATTTTATTTGCATTATTACATATCTTAATTACTTGCATAGTTGTATTTATCACGCTATTAAATATATATACATACATAATTATTTTTTGCTTGCTGTTAGTGTTAAATACATTTTTATTAGGGTTTGGACTTTAGACCAGTACCGTCTTTACCATAAGGGCACGCGAGGCACCGGCCCAGGGACCCTAGTCTCACCAGGGCCCCTGGCCCCTACTACTACTACTAGCGGGCACATTTTAATAGGCACCCCGGTCAAAACATATTGTCCCTTTTTTTATTGTATATAAAAAAATTATTTCAATTAAATACTCGATGAACATAGCAATCTTGCAGCCGGATGTAGGGTCATAGGCGACCAGTGCTCGCGTCACAGTCGAGTAACTTATAAATAGCTCTCCGTGGGAGAATTAAAAAGGTTACACTGTAATAAATATTTTTAAAGATGCCTCGAGCAAGTAGCAGATGTTATCGAAAAATACAAGAAGAAAGGTAATCCAGTGGCAGGGCTCATCGTAGAGCCTATTCAGTCTGAAGGCGGCGATCACGAGGCTTCTCCCGAGTTCTTCAGAAAATTGCAGAAGATATGCCAACAGGTTCATATTTTATCTTACAACTCTAGTAATTAAAAAATAATATAGATAATAGAGATTTCCGATTTTGATTACTGAAGTTTTAAAAGAAAAATGTTCAACGAATTATTAACTGACCTTGACTTTACTGTAATTCATTAACTATTTCTATCACAGACAAATGTGTTTCAAAAGTAGTAATATTTATCCACCGTGGAACTGGATATAATATAAATTATTTTGAAAAATTGGTCATCGATAACTTTTTTCGATATGGTGACGCGACCGACAATTATTGACATTAAAAAATCGGACTAATGCCAGTCTGACTCGCACACCGAGGGTTATGTAGCGTGAAAAATTAAAATAATTTTATACTTAAAAAAAACTTTTTGTGATGTTACTCGAATTTTACAGTTTTCGGATTTTTGCCTTTACTTGTGCTATAGGACATTGCGTCTTGCTAAATAAGTCTTGCTAAATTTCATGATTCTAGTTCAACGGGAAGTACCCTATAGGTTTTGATTCCATTGCGAGAACTTGATACCTTCACGCGTCCTGAGAAAAAGGGTCTTGAAAAACTGACAGACACATAGTCGTATAAGGGTTCATATTTTCCTTTTGAGGTACAGAAGTCTAATAATGAGGAGGAAGAGAATATTGCATGTATATTTTTATTTAAAAAGTAATAATTGTTTAAAACTAATTTTACAGAATGGCGTATGCTTGATCATCGACGAAGTGCAGACTGGGTGCGGCCCCACTGGCAAGATGTGGTGCTACGAGCACTTCGATCTGCCCGCGCCGCCCGATGTCGTCACCTTCAGCAAAAAGATGTTAACGGGCGGATTTTACATCAATATTGAGCAAAAGTTAGTATATTTATTTAGTTGTCGCATTTTTGGTAATTAGTTGGATTACTATTATAAATGAGAAAGTTTGTTTGTGTGTCAGTTTGTTACTCCTACATGCTTGGACAGATTTGGATGAAATTAAGTAACAGATAGGCTATGTTAGGTGTGACACATAGGTTGCTGTTGCACACAGGCGAAGTGAAGGTGAAGGCGCTGGTTCATTTTAATTTTGATATATTAATGTATTTTTGATATTTGACTGCGTCGATTGTGTAGTGCCTTATGTGTGTGACTGCACATCCGAAGGTCGCGGGTTCGAATTCCGGGTCGGGCCAAGCTTAGTTAGTGAGTCTTTCTGTCAAGAAAGTCCCATTATAAGCTTGGAGTTAGGAATTGGCAGTATTTCACCCACATGCCTCGGAGAGATCTCACCGGTCGTGTCGAATTAACGTCCCATCGGAATTTGAGAGTGACAGGAATAGTGGGTACACGTTGTGTCTGCGCGCACACGCGCTGCACTGTAATATCTCCTGCGCACATATCACTACGATTGGCCGCCGTAGCCGAAATCGGTCAGCAGGACATCATTATCATCTCTCGTAATTTAAATATGAGGTTTGTATGTGAATTTATGTTTGTCTCCAGTGCCTGCCTACAAGTAAGTACACGTAGAATAAAAGATATTATAATAAAAATGTTATTGAGAAAATAGTAAAAAGTAATTAATAGAAATATAACTAATTAACATGAGCACAAAGTCTTTTAAATAATATTGTTTAAATTATCTAGCCATTTTTGTACAAGCGAATTCCCAAAACAAAAAATATATCTGTTCAAAAAAATAATTATTATAACTAAAACAATCACGAACGAAAGTATTTAAAAATGCTTATCATTTATGTAGATAGGTAATATTTTTATTACCCCGAATCTTATCGTAAAAATAACATCGTTACCAGTGGCGCGGCAAGAGCTAAATTTGATGTGGGCAAAGTATATTTCGCGAGGCCTTCTAGTGGCGCACGACTACAAATTTCATAAAAAAATTATAATAATTACAAGCTTTTATTTAACTTGCTATGTTTGTTTGTTCGGTCGATTATTTCTTCAATCGATTGAGCTGGAATTTTGCGTACACGTTTTACGTTTAGTTTGGATGACAATGCATAGTAGGCTAAGGTGACGTCATTCTAAATCCATCATGGCGGGCTCCCAATGATGGCGGACTATGCTTTTATATGCATCCCCTTTATATGGATATCTAATGAAAAGGTTTAGTGAGAAGAATACGAATAAAACAAACTAAAAAAACAAAATAAAAAAAAAACAAAGGAAAAAAAATCATAAAAAAGACTTGACACTTAGAAATCGTCACGTAACCAAAAAGGTTATGCTTTATTATTTACTTAGAGCAACATCTTATGTGACGCCATCACAAGTACCAGGCGAAGTTTTAAGTCGTATGCACTCTTTGCTTTGATTTGTATCAGCTGACACCGACTTCGAAAATATTTGATTAGGTCCCTATCTATAGTAAATGAAAACTACCAATCAGTTATTTTTTACGTTTTAATGTTTTTTTTTAAGTTTTGATTTTTTCATTTTAGTGTAGACAAAATAATATCAAAGTAAGAAGAAAGTATTTTAATAAAATATTCAACTAAGCCGTTTAAGTTAGTTTAATGCCAATTATTATATGAAGATTGGCAAACTAAAATTCGCTTTTATTAGTAACCCTAAATATCAGGCTCTAAAATCGAATTCTAACGTATAGTATCGTAGGTTTGTCAAATCAAACGAAATAAGCCCAAACTCAAAGTATCTACTATTAGGCGTTGAAGAGTTCCACCTAATCACCGTCTGGCCTTACCATCAGATCATGTCAACGATACCGAATCACTGCACTATCAACGACAATAGAAACACTTGAAAAGTATCAAGTCAATATGACAGAGGTAGATTAAATTTTTAAATTAGTTATTTTTCTACCCTTGAGGATGGTACTTTTTTTTTATTTAAATTGGACTAAACTGGAACTTTCAAACAAAACAAAAATTGTCCAAATCGGTTAGAAAATGAGGAGTTCTGAAGTAACAAACAGTAAAATAAATATACAGTCAAATTGAGGAACTCCTCCTGTTTGAAGTCGTTATAAATGAGTGATAACGTGTTACTATGCATTGTATAATGAATTTATATGATATCCCAATCATCAATCTACTTCAAAATATCTCCGTAATCGGAAACGTGACGTTAGAGCACCATATTGCTAATTTTTGTTTGTTTGTTCAAGTGACCTCTATCCATTCACACCAATTACATCGTTACCGGCTACTTAAAAAAACCACAATGACGATGGATTGCTAATGCCAACTTCTATAAAAAAAAATTCGAAACATAAATATCGAATGTAACAAGATTAAAATCGTTTAATAATAGAAATTTATAAAAATATATTTGGGAGTGACATATTACAATTCTCTACTTGCTAAAATAATACTAGTTAGTCACGTTAGTCATTAGTTCTCTCCTTACTTCATAATACAAGTTTTCCTATTACGAGCTCCTAAGCGCTCTTGGATTATTTATACGAAAGGAGTATTTTTTGTAATCTAAACAATTTTAAAATAAACGATTAGGTATTGAAGTAAAACTTCTTTACGCACGCTTGATGTGGGGAGTAAGCTGGTGAATGCGTGATGGGAGCGTTACGAAAAGTGTGATCGGGCGAGGCAAACGTTTGTTGCCATGGTAACCGTTGTTATTGTCTGTCAAACGATATATAATATTATATTCTTTCCTTAAATGATATTCTATAAATAAGTATATGATTGTAAGACATATGCCTAATATGCGTTATTTAATTATTTTTATAAAAAAATATCATTCCTTTTACAGACAGAGAGTTGTGACATACGGGATGAATTCTTTAGCTATTTTTGTTTTGTTACGCCAAAGAAGTATAACTTCTTACGTGCGTTCGTTCATAAGTGCACACACACGTTTTTTCCGTATATGATATTCTACAAAAATATATGATCGTAATACCTACGCCTAATATACCTTATTTAATTATTGTTTTTTGTTTTTATTATTTAATTCCGATATTTTCCAAAGAAATTTTACTTCAACCGCGCGTAAAGGTTACACGCATCCACTTTTTTTATTATTATAATTGTTTTATTCCAGACCATCCCATGCGTACAGAGTGTTCAACACGTGGATGGGCGACCCCGGCAAGTTGATTCTGTTGGAAAAGGTGTTGCAAGTTATTAAGAATGAGAACCTGTTGGCTGTCGTCAATGAGACCGGGAAAGTTTTGAAAAATGGCTTACATGACCTGGAGAAAGAATTTCCTAGTAAAATTAACAGCGTGCGAGGCCGCGGTACATTTTTATCCTTCAATTCTGATTGTCGAGATAAAATAAACGCAGATTTAAAGAAAAATGGTAATGTACTCTATAAAATGTATCATACTGTACATTTTGTATAGTGTTACTCTTCAAATTATATTTTTGTATTGTTTTGAATTAATAATATTTTCATATAAAATTATTTTGCAGTTAAATAAAAAAAAATGATAGTAAAATAATATTATAAAATTATATGTGCTTTTCACAGGTATTCTAGGAGGCGTGTGCGGTGAAAATACTATACGTCTTAGACCAGCTCTAGTCTTCCAGAAGAAACACGCAGAATTATATTTAGATATCTTACGTAAAACGTTAAAAGAAATATAAATATTGATTCTTCTATTCAAACATTTTAACATTGTTAATAATCAGGTCCATATGGTAACTTACAGTATTATTTCAGCATTAATATTTAGGGCTATCTATTTTAAGCCATCTAAACGTAAATACTGTATAAGTACACAAATTATTTATTTTTTATTTTACATTATATTTTCTATATTATTGCATTTATCTACACTCTTGATGTTAAATAGGGATAATGTAGTCGAATGCCTCAAAAATGTCTTCCACTTACAAAATATTGATATTAGGTGCTAAAAATATAATCTTTACGCAATTAAATTATTTAAAATATTATGTTTTTATTTTATTACAATTACTTTTTTCTGCTGGGAGTTTATTAAACAACAACGTGGTCCTCGACTAGTGAACATTTAGAGCATTGAAGTACTTTAAACGACCGAAAACTGACTTTATTAGTGGGTAGATTCCTCGGTCCTATCAATTAACACGTTAAACTTATTTTACTACAGCTAAGAAAATAGACACAAACTGGTGCCTAAGATCCGTCATTTTCATTTTTAATGATATTTATATGCCCTATTTAACTTGCGTTATCAAAACTAATCTAACGACGTATGAATCATAAAAATCGGATAAGCCGTTAAGTAATCACGTGGAAACATAGGATTGGAAATACATACAGGTCAAACACATAACCCTCCTTTGGGCTTCGCCGCAGTCGGGTAAAAAACGGTAAGGATTTGGGATTAGTACTAGAACGCTTGCTTCTGTGGATTTAAGGCATTCTTGTCATATCCTCGACCTGCATTTCGTGCATTCACTCAGAGGCGGCTTTACCTATGGTGCAGAGTGAGCGGTGCCCACGGGCACAGGGTCTATGGGGGCGCTAAGCGCCGCTTGAGACACCTCAAAAGAGCATGCGTCGTTCGCGGCGCCGCCGGCGCTCTCAAAGACCCTGCGCCCGTGTTATGACCGACACCGGACGGCGGTTGCAAAGTTAAGGCGCGCGTAGATTACAAAGATTGGCAGCATTTGTCTATAGCTTTAGAATGCCTTGAAAAGAGCTTAGGGCACCCATGTCTCGTAAGACACTAATTATGTACATTGAGAACGGTTATTTTATGTAAAAGAAAAGACGGTCGGTTTCTTGAACAAAGTTGAAATTGAACGGGAAAGAACGGGTGGCACTTGAACGAATAATCAAAATAATTCATTTTCTAGCGAGGAAATATCTGGCGATAGGGGAAAAATTTGATAAAATTTACGATTCTGATAATGGTAATTTTTTAAAGCTGGTTGAGTGAATATGCCTCTAAATTTCATAATGTGCTTGCAGAACACGTCAAAAATCTAAATCACGCCCAACTCATCTTGGCCATAATATATAGAATAATACGACTATTATAGTATTAGGAGAAATAATAAAAAAAAAATGTTTTGGAATTGAAGCAATCCAAATATTCTTCAATTATTTTAGATTGCACTCTAGATATTGCACACGAAGAACAAATATCGGTTATCGTATGGTACCGTTCCTTTAAATGCAAGCAACGACAAGACTGGAAAAGAGAACACCTACTGGGATATCCTATTACAGATACTACAACTGGTTAGAGCTTAATTCAATATTTGTTAGATTGTTCAATGTCCAACGATATTGACATCTATACCTACATATAATAAATTGTAAGTCGAATCTGTACTTTAAATATTTTTTGGAAAATCTTATTGAAATAGACATTATTATCGATACAGAGGCCGGATCTATAGTTTTAGAATTTATGTCTGTCTGTCTATTTGTTACCGCATCATAGAAAAACCACTGAAGGGATTTTGATAAAATTTGGTATGGTGATAGCTGGTTATCCGGGTCAACATATAGGATACTTTTTATCGCGGGAAAATGTCTCATTTGTGAGAAAAAACAAGATATGCGTGGTAAAAGTTACGATAATGGTGCAAACATGGGAAAAATATAGGTCTACAAAAACGAATTTATACCTAAATCCGCGTGCATATTATGTACGCATATTATGTAAATGATGCTACTAAAAGTTCATTAGAAACTGTCGATTTTTTTTCAATAGTCAATATTCGTGTGATGTGGCCAGCCGAGAAGTTATACATAATTTTCCTTTAGTTTCGGAATAATCTCTCTGTTCTCTATTCTATATCCCATTCCACACAGTATGTGTGCACTTTCGGATAACTTTATATGAATATGTACACATATAAGATAATAAATTCAAATACACATAATTAATCATGTAAGTTAATTATCTCTATATAAATATTATAAATGTGAAAGTTTGTGAGTATGTATGGATGTTAGTTACTCCCCCACGCCAGAACGGCTGAACGGATCTGGATGAAATTTGGCACAGAAAATAGAATATATGAAATATACATGAAAATCGGCCAAAAGTTAATTATTAAAAATATATTTACTATATATATTTTTTATATATTTATTATAGATTTTTAATATATTTATAATATATTTTTTATACATTTTGACATTTATTTCTTTAATATTTCTTTTTTCATGGGGGTATACTCACGATAAAATAGTGAAGGCATTAATAATACGATTTTGTCTTTTCATATTATTAGTATGGATGAATCTGTTTGTATCATCTGCAATAAGGCAGATGATAAGCAAGTGTATGAAATAAAAAAGGTTTTTTGCATTTTCTCATAAGATTTACTATAGTAACATATTTTTTTTTTCACCATCGGAAAGTAGAGATTTCAACGAACAGAAAACATACCAACTTTTTGAAAAAAAGCTGATATTTTGACGGATGAATTTTCGATTGAAAATTAGGGTGTATTTTCGATATTAATTCAAAATAAGGTGAAAAAATAAATATTTTTAATCAAATAAATTACAGCGTATTTGGGACATAAAAAGGCAAGTTTTCACCAAATTTCGTTAAAAAAAAAATGTGAAAGATAAAAATAAAAAACCAAAAAGTTGGTTTTTTGAATTTTTCACTTAAATTTTGAGGTTATGTGAAAAAAGTGTAAATACAAACATTTTAGATCTTTTTATTACCTACAACTTGGCCATTTGATTTTTTTCAATAGGACTTTTAGTTTTGCCGGAAATCGAGAAAAACCGTTTTTTACCATTAAAAGCTCCCCCTCACCCCCTTCCCGACCTCAGATCGCCCGTAAATTATTTTTTATTTCATTTTTATAATATTCCCCTCCTTTTCTAATGGGTTGCATCCTACTATTATTTTTTTTGGTTTCAAAAATTATCGACTCTGGTCTATTGTTCTGTGAAAAACTAAAACAAATCTATCCCACGGGTTAGATTTGTTTTCTTAGATTTTCCGGGATAAAAAGTAACCTATGTCCTATTCCAGACTATAATCTACCTGTGTACCAAATTTCATCCAGATCCGTTCTGCTGTTCTTATGTGATTGAGTAACAAACATTCATCCAAACTTTTGCATTTATAATATTAATTAATTAATGAGATTATATATTTATCGTTATATATATGTGACCCGAGCAATAAGTTATGCTACATAAAATTTATTTAAAATCGGTTCAGTAGGTACTTTTTGTGTCAAACGCTCACACACAAACAGACAGACACAAACAGTTTTAATAACTATTGTTTTGAGGTCTATATTCTGTAAACAATATTTCATGCAGGGGCGTAGCTACCGCCGTATTTGCCGTATCAATTATACGGGGCCCCCGGGCCACGGGGGCCCCCAAAGTGTGTAAGGAAAAAGAATAAAAACTTTCTAATTTATTTTATTTTACAAATGACAAAATTCTATAAAGCAATTCCTTTTTTTCCCGCCTTAAGCGTGCGTTCAAAAGTTGGCAACACTACATCGTTATGGTGGGCTGCGGGACTTCCCCGTTTTACTTACTTCATCTTCAACTCAGCGGGGAATCCCCGGGAATCCTTCATCGATATCGCTATGTACGTGTACGTTGTTGTACTTTGCATTGGATGTTAAACCACGGAGTGCAGTGCACTGTTTATTTACGCGCTTTATATAAATGTGCATTACATTGTTATTCAGTACAAACAATATTGTTCTTCTGGTTTAGCAGTATTAGTAACGATTTGTAAAAGAAATGAGTGAAAGGAAAAGAGATTATCCCAGCGGCGCTGAGAAAAGAAAAATTAAAGAGAAAAGGGACAAGGTTATAAAAAAAGTGCCCAAAATTTCTTCATTTTTTCAGAGACAAGATACTGTGAGTGATTTAGATTGGAAAGGTAAGTACTACACTACTACCCAACCCATTTATTAGGGGCCCGTAGTGATAAACAAGGAAATCTTTTAATTTCGGTCTGTCCATCTGTCCGTCACAAAAAGTTGTCTCCCCCCTCGATTTTCACAATTATACTGTTTTTAGGGTTCCGTGCCTTGATTAAAAAAAACAAAATTCTAACTTATCTATAGGATCGATTTGTTTTGTTGTTTGTTTATCAGTCCGTATCGTATCGTTAATTGCGTGTTGAGAACTTCAGATGTGCAGACTCGCTTTCGGGTTCTCGTTTTGTATGGCCACTACACTACGCGCTGCGTTTAAATAGCATGCAGGTGTATAGTAATGCACGGACGGGCTGCAGGTGATTTTGTATCTACTAATAGGTACGAGCACAATCCGCGTAGAATCTGTGTGCGTCTGAACTGAACACTCTCTAACTGTGACCCTTAGTAACGTTATTTATTTATATATAACTCTTTTTAGTTTAGTATCAAAGCATTCGTATTTATTTTTTAACAATTACTCGTTTATTTTTAGATTCTTCTGAAGCATGTTCTTCGTCACATATCCATCCGAAAATAGAAGAAAGCCAAGCACATACTTTATCGGATGTCCATCCAGAAATCGAGGAACCCCAAGTCAACGATTCTGATATATCTGCAGATAATGCAGATTGTAATATAATTTCATCAGATAGAGGAAATTTTGGTGACAATTTAACTGAATGCGAACGAAAAATAATTTTTAAATTGGGTCCATTTAAACCACAAGGATCATTTCCAAAAGTTTCAGAAAATAACCGACCTTTTTCAGCTTATTATTATTCATATTTCAATCAGGCAGGCATAAAAATTATAAGACCATGGTTATGTTATTCTAACGTTTTAAACAAACCGTACTGTCACTTCTGTTGGTTATTAGCAGATCGTCAAAACAAATCGTACTCCTCTGCTTGGGTTAACGGTGTTTCGGTTAGAAGCAATTTCACACAAACTATTCTTGACCATGAAAAGTCACAGCAGCATATTAGTGCCTCACTCTCTTATAATAATTGGTTGCAAGGAAATACCATCGATACTCTATTGAAAAGTGAAATCGATAGTAAAATTACATTCTGGAGAGATGTACTGCATCGTATAATTAATGTTATAATTACTTTAGTATCTTGTAATCTACCTTTGAGGGGGCATGATTCTGATTCTGGCAATTTTATGGCAATTTCACGTCTGCTATCTAACTATGATGCAACTTTAAAAGAACTTTTTCTAAAACCGAAAGGTGAAATAAATTATTTAAGCCCTACGATTCAAAACGAAATTATTAGTTTGCTTGGTACTAACGTTAGGAACAGTATTATCTCAGAAATTAAAAAAGCTCCATTTCTGACAATAATTCTGGATACAACACAAGACTTGTCAAAAATTGACCAACTATCTGTAGTTTTTCGATATATCTCGGTTACAGAAAATGATGATAATGTGCCTAAAGAAATAAAAATCTGTGAGTCCTTTTTAGGATTCATAGCAGTAACCGATTGCAGTGCTGCAGGTCTGAAAACTGTCATTTTAAATTTGACTAAAGAATATGGAATTGATTTGACTAAATGTAGAGGACAGGGATACGATGGAGCAAATGTTATGTCGGGTGTGTATGGAGGATTACAAACCCTAATAAAAGAGCATGCTCCAAATGCCGATTATGTTCATTGTGCTGCGCACGCTTTAAACTTGGTTTTGAACGATGCTGCGAGACATGTTCGTGAAGTATCGACTTTTTTCGATAATTTAGAAAAAATATATACTTTTTTTGGCAATAGTATAAAACGCTGGGCTATGCTAAGTGACGATTCATCTGAAAAATATTTGATTACCCTTAAAAAGGTATGTCCTACCAGATGGTCTTCTAGGAACGACGCTTTATTAGCAGTAAAGAAAATTTTTTTACTAATCATGAAAACTTTGTACCAACTAAATTTAATTTCAAATAAAAAAGATGAACGTGAAGAATGTAAAAGTATAATTAATATTTTAGAGAGTTTTGATTTCTTAGTGCTCGTTACATTTTTTTCTTCACTATTTGAAATTATTAATCCTGTTTCTAAAGCTCTACAGCATGATAATAATGACTTACAGAAATCTAGTATTTTATTAAGTAATCTTTTAAATAGACTGTGCCAATTAAGAAATCAGAATTCATTTAATAGTTTGCTAAATGAATCCAAAGATTTAGCAAAAAAGTGGGGGGTAACAACTGTTTTTAAAAACAGTAGGCGAAAGATAACGAAGCGTTTTTTTGATGAGTTATCACAAGATGAGAGAATTTCCGACCCGGAATCCTATTTCAAAGTCAATGTATACTATTGCTGTTTAGATATATTAATTTCTCAAACTAAAGAAAGATTTCAGAGCCTTTGCAACCTGAGTAGTATATTCGAAATATTACAACCGGAGAAACTCCTATCTTCTTCAAGCGAAGAGATATTAAACGCTTCCGGAAAACTGTAAAGACAGTAAAGACATCTCACTTAATCTTTGTGACCAATTAAAGGCTCTAAAAACATGCTTAAATTCTGAAATTAAAAAAATTTATTCCATTAAAGAACTCATTGAATTATTGCTAGTAAAATTCAATAGTCTTGCATCCAGTTTTCCCGAGGTAATCACAGCATGCTTTTTATTCTTGACCCTTCCAGTTACAACCGCAACGGCAGAAAGAAGTTTTTCAAAATTAAAACTAATAAAAAATTACTTAAGAACTTCGATGGGACAAGAACGGCTGTCAGACATCTCACTATTGTCCATAGAGGCAGAAACTTTAGAAAAACTAAAATCATCATCAGCCATAAATGATTTAATAAATCAGTTTGCCGATAAAAAGGCAAGGAGAGTGAATATTTAAAATTCGATTTTTATTTGTAAAATGGGTAAATTATGTGATAAATAAATATTACTTCTCACAATATTTTTTTTCTTTTGTGAAAAATCTTTACCTCCATATAAGGGCCTCCAAAAAAATTTTTATACGGGGCCCCGACAAGGCACGCTACGCCACTGATTTCATGTAAAGATTTCGCTAAGTTACTGTTTTATTATATGTATAGATAGATTACTTATTAATAAATTAATCGCAAACAGTTCACAGACATTGAAAAGGCAGCTCCAATTTTTACTAATTTTTCATTTTAATATATTGCTTTACCTAATGGTTTAGGATAATAGGCCTATGTAGGTATCTATATTTAATATTAATAACAAATTAACCATTACATGCCAGAAAATAAATGAGGAAGGATTTTATGGTAACAATAACAACCAGTAACTACACATTTCAATATGATTTATTTCTGTTGATATATACACTTAAGTTATGATTTACCTCCATAAATGCAACATTTTACAGCTAGTAGTTTTATAGTACCTAGTACTAACATTGCCCGCGGCTCTGCCCGCGTTCAGATGACAAAAAAACAAATTCTTAGGGTTTACATATTAGTATACTCTTATTTTGCAGTTTTTGTATTTTTTCTCAGAAATGAGACATTTACCCGCGGTAAAAAGTCTAAAATCCTATATGTTGACCCGGATAATAAGCTATCACCATACCAAATTTCATCAAAATCCCTCTAGTGGTTTTTCTGTGATGCGGTAACAGACAGACAGACAAAAATTCTAAAAACTATAGATTCGGCCTCTGTATCGATAATAATTTTTATTTCAATAAGATTTTCCAAAAAATATTTGATGTACAGATTCGACTCAGAATTATATTATATGTATAGATTTTAAATTAAAAATACTTATATCAAAATTGGTATAAAACAATGTTCAAAATTCCTTACTAATGTAAATGTTCGGAAAAGTATATATTCATAAGTAGCTTTATAAGCGGGACTGTTTTCTCTATCTACCTATATCAATTAGCTTTCAAATAAAAAAATAAAATTTCACCGAAATTGGTCCTAGTCCGTTTGGCGACTAGTAGGCATATGTTTACCACATAAAGAAAGACATCAGCAAACTCACCCTCTTTTTGCGTTAAAAGGTTTTTTAAATATACTTGACTCTTGAGACAGCAACAAAATGCTAAAATACGTATTTATTCAGTTGTATTGAAAGGCAATAATACCACGGTAATATTATATTACATTACCGTGATAATACCAAGTTTCAAGTACCTAATTCTGATCAAAAAAATTTTTTGGGTTATAATATAACGTGCTTTCCCGTGGGAATGAGAAAATCTCCTGCGGTAAAAAATAGACTATGTGATATGTCACTGGTATGGGGGGTAATTTGCTACTTGCTAGTTTTACTTAAACATCAATGAAACAAAGTAGTTTCATATTGCAGCAGCTATTGTTTCCCCCCCAACATGCGTTCACGTTGTCGTGGTGGGGGGACTCAGTAGTGCCCGGCAATCCAGCCGGGCGCGAACCCAAGAAACGCACAGGGAGGTGGCCCGCTTCGGTGGGCGGTGGGAGGTGGCCCTCTTCGGTGGGCGGTGTACCAAGCGGGTTGCTCCTAGTACTTCTCTGATAGCAGAGTGGGCCTTGGAGCAACCCCATGGTTGTTGTGGTCTGCTTCGGCAGACCTGCCGTCGGGGCGTCGTAGTTGAATGCGTAAGCGATCCTGCGACGCCCCATTAAGACGGGGGAAGGTTTTGTTGGGTTTTAGTGGGTAGTACTGGCTTTGCCGGTGAGTCCCACACCTCGTGCGTAAATGCATTTCCCAACGTTAAAAAAAAGGTACTGTTTGTTATAAATGCTGTTTTTTTAATTTAGTTCGTTGGTATTTAATAGTTAGTTATTCTATAATACTCATCCCCCAGAGTTTAGCGGAGATTTTAGTGACGGTCATAATACCTACTAGAAAAACAATGCAAAAGTTGGTATGTATACCATAATAAACGCGAAATACAATTATTGGATGAAACAAACGCTTGATATGTTTAATTAATTGAAGAAGATAAAAGGAAGGAAAAAAGCATCTATGCAAAGTTGGGGCGGATCGCTAGATAAAGGTAGATGTTTGTATCGCACCAGTAAGTACCTATAAGTAAAAGTTACTTTTGTAACTTGCCATAAAAAGTCATAAATATCTAGTTAGAAAGCGGTATAAAAGTGGTTCGTCTTTTTGTTGTTATTTACTACAACTTGTTTAAAGAAGTTAGTCTAAAGTAAAAAGTAGTTTTATTATGTCACTCTCACCCGCATTTTATAATTTAGATAAATAAAAGAAAAGCCTTGTAGGTAATAATTTAACTATTTTAAATGTTTAAGTGAAATACAGAATGTAGATAGCAAATATGTTAGATTAAGCATATCTAATTTTTACCCGATTGCTGCGAGGCCCAAAGGAGGGTTATGCGGTTGATCTAATAAGTACAATGTACATATCTGTGCATATGTTTATGCTTAACCGGTTTTAATAATTCATACGTCGTTAGATTCGTCTTGATTAGTGTCATAGGCTATATAGAAATAAATGAAAATCAAAATGGCGAATTTCAGGAGCCAATTTATGTCTTTCAAACATTTTTTCTTCTAAACCTATCGAATGGTGTATCAAAATAAAGGTTTTTAGAGGCGATCCCAAAAATGTACCTACACAACTTACATGCTTAAAAGTAATTTGAAACTCCAAAGGTCTAACTGGCCAAAACTAAAAAGCTGTAAATAAAAATATATTTACAAAACTTAAAAAAAACGACTTCAAAAAAAAAAGTTCTACAAAGTAAAAAATAACTGGTTGGTATTTTTCATTTACTATAGACACCTAATCAAATATTTTCGAAGGTGTCAGCCGATACAAATCGAAGCACACTAACAACAGTTTTGTAGAAGTCGTTTTTTTTTACTTTTTAATTTTTCCCTTTTTAGTGTAGACAGTATTAGCAAAGTAAGAAGAAATTATGTATTTTAATAAAATATTCACTTAAGCCGTTTGATGGTAATTTTTATATGACTAGACTAACAAACTAGAATTCGCTTTTATTAGTTACACTAAAAATTCTCGTTCTAAAATCCAATTTAACGTATTAGGTTTGTCATATCAAACAAAATAAGCCAAAACTCAAAGTATCTACTATTTGCCGTTGAAGAGTACCTACACACCTATCCACCTCCGGCCTTACCATCAGATCAGGTCATGATACTGATCCACTACACAAACAACGGGAACACTTGCAAAGTTTCAAGTCAATATGGTAATTAGATGTAGGTAAAAAATTTAAGTTGGCTATTTTTCTACTCATATGGTGGTATTTTTTTTTAAATTTTAAATAGGACCAAATTGGAAGTATTCACTTTATACAAAACAAAAATTGTCCGAATCGGTTAATAAATGATGGGGTTCTGAGGAAACAAACATAAAAAAATACAGTCGAACTGAGAACCTCCACTTTTTTGAAGTCGGTTGAAAAATAAAAAGCTATCTAAAAAGATGGGAATTTGGAACGAGTTGTCGAAGGAAAATAGTACTATGCAGTCGAAGACATATCTATGTTTCATGGTTACCGCGAGATGTAAGTATTTATGTATGTCTTCGACAATAATGCATAATAGTTTACATAAACAAGCCTTTTTTATTCAATGCAGATTTTAGATACAGTTAAGTGAAATGCTTACACCTAAGTATAGGCGTCTAAACTAAACAAAAAGAAAATAAATACCATAATGTATTCTAAATTAAATAATGCTTATACCTAATGACAAAGTACTCATACTAGTTTCATAAATTCCAGATACGGTAGATATTTAATTAATTTGACATAGAAAATTAGGCATAGATGCTTAAGTAGCTTTCACAAAACTGTAGAAAGTGCAATCATTATCCATTTCAAAACATGTTGAACATACATACGTAATCATGTTTGTCAATTTAAAACTTTAGAGGTAATTTATTGCCATTATATTAAGTTAGCCAACCCGCACTTGGCCAGCGTGGTGGACTATGGCCTGATCCCCCTCGTATTGAAGGGAGGCCCGTGCCCAGCAGTGGGACGTTAAAAAGGGCTGAATACATATTAAGTTAGAAAACAGGTGTATTCGCTCGCTTTCTCCTCAACTGCAAAGGCTATATTAAATATAAATGGGTAACTAACTATTCTTGTTTTGAGCCGCAAAGATTTCATAAGAATGATTGTATACAATCATACTTTTCACATTTTTTCTTCGACGACTAATCTATCTCTCTCTGAATACAGACTCAATAGAGTCTGAGTTGAAAAATTGGATTTATATTTTAAAGCCTTTTTTTTATTGAAAAAAAAAACCTTATTAAATATAAAAGTACTGTAAATGATGTTTACTTACATTTTTAGATTTGTTATATGAAAAATATAATATGAGCAAAAAAAGGTAAAAAAAATATATGGTATTATTGTCTAAGAAAATAATTTTTTTGACAATAAGACGCTTATTTGAGCAGGTTTATGTTGATAAATAAGCGTGTATTATTTTATTTCATAAGATTTTCCTTCAATCATTCTTTCATAGGTACAT